CCGCATCTCACCTGTGCATCTATTTATATCTGTGTGTAGTCCTAAGATATATTTCCTATAACTTTAACCAGCTCTAAATATGAGGGGGGGGGGGCAATCCGACTATTAAAGGGAAAATAAATGTTGCCACCAACTGTTTTATAAATAAAAAAGCTTTAAATGTAGAAAAAACATAAATGTGTATGACTACTACTACATTTACTACCACCACTACTTCTACAACTAGTACTACTACTATTAGAACTACTACAACTACTGTACTACTACTACTACTACAACTACATGTGTACTTCTAATACTAAGTATTACTCCTACTACTTCTACTTCTACTGCTACTACACTACTACTACTACATGTACTACTACTTATATACCTCTACCTACAAAATAAAATAAATGAATAAAATAAAACTTGTAACTTACGTTTGATATCTTGACTTCAAATGGGAAAAGTTTCTACTACAGTATTGTATTGTACATGTAGATGTTGTTCACACAATTTAAAATGCCAAATAATATTCCCAGCACTGATACTAAGCTTATCATCAAAACCCATACAAATCTTACAATTTATAAGGTTTGAATTTCGATAAGACTCTGCACGCACAATCAACTAGCAAACCAACACTCCCTTTGAGATAATGATAATGGAATTTTTTGACAGAAGAACAAAGACAAAAATGACCTTGCCACATTAAAAAGTCATAAAATATAATGAAGGATAATTCTTGATCTTGATACCTCACGCAAGTAGCACAGAGACATGAAACACTTCTTTATACAACATCGTAAATGTTCTAGTTAAAGTTACAGGTATTCTCATTTTCTGTTTGAGTTCATTTAGAAATCCAGCATTAAAGGTACTATGTCCCTTTTGCAGCCAACCTCAAATGCTGTAGAACTTTGCAGGAATTATGAATATGTCATGTATGTCCTATCTGTGAAATTTAAACGTTAGCAGTGTCCTAATATTCAAATTATGCAAGGAAACCCGTTTACTTGCTAGACTTCACTGTCAGACACTATTGAGTGACTGACTGGCTTTTTCTTCTTTGGTAATAACATACATGAAAAGAGTTGTAAAGGGTATACATGAGAATTTGTCTACATGTACATCAATAACCCACTTGTGATGGCCAAGATTAAACTGATTGAATCTTTGCGCAGCATAAAATGTATGACCATTCGGTACAATTGTCTGAAAATCTAGACTATTACTTTTGGGCTCTATAGCCCTAAAGTCGATTTGACAACTAATAGTCGTTATTTTCCCACTTTAAGACATTTTCAAGCCCCACCTTTTTTAGGGAAGTTTTAAATTAGTATTATCTTTCAAATGCAGTTGGATTTAACTTTTTCATTTTTTTGGCCTGCAAATGGGACATAGTAACTTCAAAGGTTAAATACTGTATATAAAAATATATATTATCAAAGAATCAAATAAAATGTCCACTGAACTTTCCAGAGTACAAGCATATTATGAATTTTAAATATACACTGTACATGTACATGTACATGTACATAAAATAAAGGTACAAAAGGTGCACAAGTTGTGTTATGATGAGGCAGATTTGAAGAAATTGAACTGCAATGTACATGTGGTAGCAGCCCCCGACCAAGTGCATGGTAAGTTGTACTCATTGCAAAAGCAAGATTTGCATCAAAATGGTTGATGTTTTGCTTTATATTGGACTGAATGACTCAACAGCATGAAGAAACAATTCAGAATACCTTAAACATGTTGCCTGCCCCGGGCATGGGATACTATGTACTAAATAAATAGTAAATGTAGGCTATATTAAAAGTAAAGACCAGTTTTGAAAACGCCCCCTCTCAAAAAATTAAATGGAAGCTTTCATTGTAAACCAATCATGTGAAAGAATATGTTTTGACTATTAAATACATGATATAAATTTTGCAGGGAAACCGCCTACTAATTGATACATGTACATGTACATGTATATTTGGTAAATTATTATAATCTATATCTGGACCGTGTCGCGTGTCACGTGTCCCGAAGTCCCAAATTTATCTCTCTGTGTACAGTGCTTGTAACTTTACCAAGACTGGCCCAAATTTCTTATCATTTTGATGATTCGAGAACCTTGCAGTACACAACATATGCTAGATGATCAACCTTTTCTGATCGATTCCACAACGTTTCTTTCACAATGCAATCGCATGACCAGAACTGATCTTTACCTTTAACTCACATTGCCCTTTAATAGTAATACAATGGTATACCAGCAGTAGTTACAATGTACATACATGTAGTAACCCTTCCATATGGAATCAATTTTTCAAGAGAAGGTGGGGTTCTGAGAAAGGTGAACAATAGTTCAAGTTGTAAGCTTTTTCATTCTTTGTTTTATTTCAGTGTGGGAGAATATCATTAACAATATGTCGTAGAAAAGGTGTCTCAGATAAAATATCCCCTGAATATGACAAGAAACAGTTGAACTGTTGTATCCAAGCTTTCATCATCATGCCGTATGTTTGTGTAGTTCCATTTATACATTTGTGTGTACCATGCAATATGTATGTGACTTTTGGTATAAAGACCACGTTAAATTCTTTTCACTTTGATCATTCCAAAAAAATCACACTATAATCAGTTCTGATGTACTGCATTAATTATCAATCTTTCCCGATGGCTGTGTTCATGTATTGTCATGACCAGTACTCGACTTCATCTAAGATGAGTTCTGGTCATGGTTTAGTTTTGTGAATGAAAGTGTTGTGAATGTGGCAATTGGAAAGGTTGATCATGTAGCAGATAAATATTGGTGTACAGGTACACGCTGAGGTTTTGGAATCATCAAAATTATCAGAAATTAGCCCAGTTTTGTTCAAGGTCTCATACACTGTGACTGTACGGGACTACACAAATGCGTGACATAAGAGTTGTGGTCCACAACCTTTAGCTATTACTAGTCGTATTTCGAATATGACGACATTTGAAGAACCATCCTTCTCAGGGGAAATTTTTCCTTTGATACTCTACCACACAAATATTTAATGACAAATTTCACAAAGAACTTTTTCACCTTTCCCAAAACTCCACCTTCCCTTTAAGGGTTTCAGTCAAATACAATGGCATTGTTGGTACTTCAATTACACCTTGTATTATATTTCAAACTTTTCATCCTCAATGATAATGACCGATAATAAACAGAGTATGCATTCTTGTACAGGTATACATGTCAAAACATGTGTGCAAATTGATATGTCATAAAATTAGGAACCATGTTAAGTTGCAGGTATTTTTTTTTTATTATAATTTTTCCCTCTTTCATGATCATGCAACTACATGCACAAGAAATTGCTTTTCTGCTACAAGGATAATAAAAAGAAATATTATAACGACCCTGACAGATTAAACAATGCAATGTTTGTACACGTGACAACTGACAATGTAAAATTACACTAGAGATACACTACAGAAAATACATGTACAATGTACATTGTAAGCTCTCTTGTACAATTCAAGGTATTACATGTATAACAAATCTTTACCCTTCAATTCAACGGCTACTATTTTAATCAACAATAACGATTAGTGTAAAATGCCACGCTTGGATGTTTCTGAATTCACCAAACTCCTTGCACACGCTGATAAATCAATCGCTATTTTTGGAAAGTCAGCATCAAATTGGCAATTCAAAATCAGCCTATTTTCATATAAATATAGAATCGTTACTTGTGTTTCCAGCCATCTTCGATATCAACAGCAGCAGATTCTACACTGTAGATCTAATCTTAGACTGTAACAGTTTTACTGTAAGTAATACATGTATTTCCTATAAATTTCATGATAGCACAGGTCTGGACCTTATTCCATTATTTTGATCTGTAAATATTTGTAAACAAGAGGAACTAGAATTACATACAGATCCATGTCCATTCAAATAAACTAAAAGAAGACAAAACATACAGGCCTTCACAAGTCAGTCTGCTATGAAGTATGAACTATGATGAAGGTCGATTTGAATTTCCAATCACTACATATTGTGTTGCGTGCAGAGAGTGAAAAACATCTGCAACAATTACTGGATAATGCAAAAGTGAATAGTTTGGCCTACTGTTGAGGAAAACTAAGTATTAAAGTCTATGGTTTCCAGTAAGGCAGACGCGTACAGATGCATCCTAAAAAATAAGGATTGTCCGCATTTACGTGGATGATTCTTATTTCCAATCTGCGCGTTGGCGATCTGAAAAACGGATTCGGCGATGATGCTCCTTGATGCATTTCACATTCACTTTGGACAGAGACTTTCACGTTATGAACGATAAATCCTCTTGAAGACAGACAACCCATAAAAGTAGACAGTGAACTGGGTGTATTTCATTACGTGGAATCTGTTTTTCACATCGCCAGCGCGCAGTTTGGGAAAATGCGATCGATTCTCGTTCTCGGACCAGTTCATGAAACTGTCACATTTACAACTAGATCTAGACCTAGGTCTAGTTGTTCACCGACTTCCCATTGAAACGTGTGTTAAACTTAGTAGGGCCTACACGCATTGCAATGGGATGTCAGTGAACTTGTACTTATGACGGTTCCGTGAGATGCTGCCTAACTAACTCAGTAACTGGGAGGGGAACATCAAATCTCCAGTTCACTTCAAGACACTGATTGATGAAGTGAAATGACACTGGAAAAAAGTGGAATGAAAAGTGTATTTCGCCTGGATGGCAGACAACAGAGATGTGTGGGGAAAATGTTGCAAACAACCTAATTACTGGGAGAAGATACCTTGATTGATCTACTAATGAGATAAATTAATCTAAAGATACATGTAGGTCTAGAGGTCTAGGTGACTTGCACGGTAGCAATTGAACCTAGACCTAGACCCTAGCCTACATCATCTCGTCGACTTCCCAACCTGCATGTCATTCAATCAACATTGACAATGCATTCCAGTTCCACTCCGGGTAGGTTTTGTACGTAATTTTTACCATTAATAATCATAGTAATACATTGAATATAGATAATATTACCTTATTCATTTCATCTCTTGCCATGTGGAACGTTCTCTCTTCATTTTCTCGTCATGATCTTCCATGAAAAAGCCCTAAAACGCCCTCTGTTCTGTCACTTTTTGGTTGCCCGTACACATCCTATGGCACTAACCGCTCAACAGACGAATTGCACAGCACTCTATGGGCGACCTACATCATTTTATTAGAAGAAGAGCGCTCGACAATTTTGCAGACTGGTAACATATCTTAAACACTCCGCTGTCCTTTTTCGGTTTGTATAAAAGAGAGAGAGAGGAGAGAATTCACAGCTCTCTGAAACTCTCTAGTATTTTTAACGCCCACGCAAAAGACCACCCATCCAAAGCTTCTTTATTTTCTATTCTTAGAAATTTACACAATTCTCTTTTCTAATTCATCCTTTTAATGGTATTTTGCTCTTGCTGTTAAAAGAAAACATGATATATCAAAACCATTTTCAATTATTTTCAATGAGATCTAGACTATGTGAAGTTGTAATAAGATGTATCAATTGAAAATAAGTAGTATAGGTCTATAAAAAATAATTGTATATCACTAGACCTCTAATCGTTATTAAGAAAAAAAATGCTTGGAATCGGGCCTACAATATTCCTACCCTTCAAAAAATCTATAAACTCAAAATCCTCAAATGTAGATATTATTAACTCTATGCTTATTCCAAATTAGAAAAAAAAAATGTAGACAAAATAAGGAGTAGTCTAGAGATTCTAAAAGGGGGATTTAGGGGCTTCGATCGCTGACCCCCAAAATGGCTTCATGCCCCCCCCCCCTCCCCCTCAACCTAAAGAGAAATTTCGAGGCGCGTGTATAAAAACAAATGCAAGAAACAAAAACAAAAAAAAAAAAAAAAAAAAAAAAAAAACGCTCCTGAAGATTATAGGCCTACCGTGAGCTTATATGGTGCTACTTAAACTTAAAAAAAAAAAAAAATCATCTTCTATTTTCTGTACACTTTATTAGTGACACGTGTTACTTCAAACCCTTCCCCCACCCCGCCCCTTCCACGCCCCGTCCCCTCCTACGCAAAAGCTTTCTCTCGCACTTTGTATCCTCCATTCGCTTTGTAGTCGTACGCCCTCTATCAGCAAAAATAATATAGGAAAGACTCGTCTGGAATGAGGAAAATAGAGGATCTAGATCAGGCCCTGGCTTCTCAAAGTTCTGACCGCCCGGGAGGCTCTTTTTATTTTTTTTCTTCGAACCCTCAAAAAGTACCGGGGGCAGAATTCACCCGGTTCCTATCTTTAATACCAAATTTATACCACGTTTACCTAAGGGTACCATTGGCACTGCGTAATAACGAAATCGCAGCGCTGCGTGAAAATTGATTATCCCCATGAAAATTATTATGTATTGTTACTGTTAATAGGCTACTCAATGAAGAATTGTCATTTCGCGGATATTTAAGAATAATTAATTATTTAGTAAGCATTAAAAAACCATCGAGATATAACTATACAACTTTATGGACTTATTCCTTTATGAGATACTCTATCAATAAGAATTTGTCGTCGTTCCATGCCCGTGATTCCAAAGGGGCACCCCCCCCCCCCCTCCCCCGGATGAGGGATTACCAAAATAGCCCGGCCTTTTTAGGGTTAAACTTCAACAATTCTAAGTAGATCAGATACATGCCTAGAAGTTTGAAACAAGCCTCATTTCTCCAAGTGTCATTACTGTAGAGAGTAAAGCTTGCCATTACTGAACATTAATACATCAATGCCTGCGTGAGTCTGCGTCTTACAATCACTCCATTTGTGAAAATCTTTATTGAGAAACAGTATCAATTTTTCCATTAATATACCCTTCAAACATACTAAAACTTCTACTTTTGACAGGTAGGCCTATAATGTATCCGGACAGTTGATTCAAACCTGGCCGTTCGGAGAAAATGGCATGCATTATTTTATAAATTTTATTAAGACTTCTGTAAGACATCATAAAGGACCAACATAAATGATTGATGATGCTATTTGATGCAATATTTTATATCATTTCGAAAGAAAGAAACAACAAAAATAATAGGAATTGATTGAAGGAAGAGGCTGGAAAGAGAGACAGAAAGAGAGAGAGAGAGAGAGGGGGGAGAGAGAGAGAGAGAGAGAGAGAGAGAGAGAAAGTTTATTCAGTTTTGGATATTGCATCATTTTATAAATTTTATTAAGACTTCTGTTAGACAACATCATAAAGGACCAACATAAATGATTGATGGTGCTATTTAATGCAATATTTGATATCAATTCGAAAGATAGAAACAACAAAAATAATAGGAATTGATTGAAGGAAGAGGATGGAAAGAGAGAGAGAGAGAGAGGGGGGGAGAGAGAGAGAGAGAGAGAGAGAGAGAAAGTTGATTCAGGAATAGAAAGGAAACGAATGATAAGAACAACAAATAATAGATCCATTTTTTCAGTTTTGGATACTGCATGTTTAATAATAATATAATATAATCTCAATTTTTGATAATGAAACAAATCCTCAAAGAATCAAGTTAAATACATTTAAAAACAATTGCTCAAAATTCAAATTATATTTGCACATACAATGAATATTTACGGTAAAAAACACATTAAAAAAAATTGTTCTGACTACAATTTTCTTCGAGCGGGAGTAATTCAATTTAATGAGAACTGTGTTCATCTGAAGCACGTTACAAACAGTGTATATCACAATTACTTCCTGTTATACTTTATGTAAGCGAATACTAATATACAAACACATTTTTAACCATAACGAAGTTTTTTTTTTCTCTCGCGTAATTTAAATGCATGACAAACGAATACTGCTCATGAAAACTATGACACTGACAGTTTCATTACTGAAGAAGAAAAAATGGATAATAATTGTCATTCCATTTTGCTCGTGGGGCATCTTGGATAAAGATATTCGTTTAAAAGCAAGATAAGAAGAAAGAAGAAAATGGAGAAGAATAAGGAGGAGAAAGAGAAGAATATGAAAAAGAAGAAGTAGAAGGGGGAGGATGAGGAGAAAGAGAAGAATAAGTAGAAGGAGAAAGGGGAGGAGGAAAAGAAGATGACGTGAAAAAGGAGGAGGGGAAAGGAGGAGGAAGAGGAGGAATAAGAAGAGGAGGAAGAGGAGGAGGATGAGGATGAGGAGGAGGAGGAGGAGGAGGAGGAGGAGGAGGAGAAGAAGGAGGAGGAGGAAGAGAACAACAACATTTCAAATGCGAATTGACTTCAAGTCATATCATTTGCTCATTTTGGACTTCAATTTAAAGTTTTAGAGATGTGCTTAAAACTCTTTTAAAGTGTTGGGACTTGGGAGCCTAAAAAAAAACGATGGCAAACTTTTTGGCGAATTTGGGGCTCCCAACACTGTCTTTAGAGGGGCTTTAAACGCAGCTTTTACGTGGCAGAATCCCGGATAGTAAAACATGAGGGGCGTATGCACACAATAGTGTAAATAGTTCATAAGCTCATAAGTTCATAATAGTTCATAAGCCATTATGTCCAAAACCTTCATCTGTTACTATTTGGAGACGAAGACATGCGAGTCATTGTATTAGTGTATTCGGGGAAACCAAACGTCATAGCATTCGTGCTTGCTGAACACTGATTGGCTACGCTCACATAGTCTGATGACGTTGTACAACTTTCGTCCAATAAGAACGGTTGGTGCATATCTCGACTGGCATGCATCGTTGAATCACGGAGCAGTACCGAACTGTCAGACGCCCGTTCTCTAAACAAACTCCTGTTTGTAGGCAGTCTTCGTCTGCTACGTGTCTCGTCTGTCAGAGTATCTATCGATGTCAGATCGGTAGGACTGTACTTCCCAGTGGCAACGTGATACTCCTGATGCTTCTTCGATCTAGGGCTTGTTCTCGATCTATCTCTGAAACATGCCGCAATAGAGTCAGTACCATGTGAGCGGCCACGATGGAAGCATGGCAACGATGTTCCAGATGTAGTTCTGTCCCTAGCAGCATCCAGCGATTCTTGCGGACTCGTTTCAAAAGACACAGGGGACCCGACATGCTTAAGGTGAGGCATCCTACGCTTACGATACTGTTCCAGGATGGCATGCTCATCGGTTGACCCAAACATCCTTGATCCTCTCTGCCCCATTGGAGGCAGCGACAGCCGAGACGGGCTGACCGAGAGCGACGGCGATGGTGGAAGTCGTACTCGAACTCCATTTCCTCTCGATGGGGGCGTACGCATTGGCCATCGTTCGCATCGCCGCGGACTTGTAGCTGTAACTAATCCACAACCGATATTACCGTAGTTCTGTCGCTCAGGACTGCAGTCAGATGGGCCCGTCAAATTTGTAGCTGTGGGGTCAAAGTGGAACATGGGATGTTTTTCAGAGGCACGTGGCATCTCGTCCAGCAACGACTTTGAATTACACACAAGGGTCGAGTTTGAATTTCCATACACCAACGACGAGTTGATCACTGCTTGTTTTTCCCGCGTCGATGGCGACCCTTTGAACACCGAAAAAGCATTGGCGACTTGAAAATCACGGAAATCGTCGGTCGACATCTCCATGAGGGAGTCATCGTCGTTCCCGACGATCGATGACGAATTGAGGTCACTGCACGGAGCGCATGATGAAACATTGCTGTAGTCCAAGGAGCAGTTATTCATGTTGTTGTTCACCAGCCGACTACATCCTTCAGCGTTGTTCTTTCCTGGAAGACTTTCACAAGAACTGTAGTGACCATTATTCATGTTATAGTTCACCAAGCGACCATTCCCTTCCGCGTGGTCCCGTTCATAAAGACTTTCACAAGAACTGCTAAGCGTGGGGTTTGAGTCAGAATGTTGTCCTTCGCTAGTGCTTGAATTCAGGGTATTTGAATTATTCATATTTCTCTGCGCTTTGATTTCGTCAGCCAACGACATCATCTGCTTAGATGTCGGGAAAGTGAATCCCTGATCCTTGTTTCTAGTCGTTTCTGCCATCTTATTGACAAAGGATTTAAACCTCACCTTTCCCGATTGTTCAAGCTCCTCTGTTGACTCGGGTGTTGTTATATTCTCCTTCATCTGCTTAAGTGTCGGGAAGGTGAATCCCTCAGCTTTTTTTCTAGTCGTTTCTGTCACCTTATTGACGAAGGATTTAAACCTCACTATTCCCGATTCTTCAAGCTTCTCTGTTGACTCTGGTGTTGTTATACTTTTCTCCGCTGATAGCTCCTTGCCAAATTGAGGCGTTCGGGAGCTCAAGAGTGGCTTGGTATCTTCGTCAGTTTCGCTATCGGGATAGGTCATAGTTTCAATTTGAGGCAAAATCCTCGCTAGTAGCTGTTCTGCTGGAGCATCATCGAGTTGCAACTTTCGTTTCATGTTCTGCTTCTTCATCCTGAAGTAAAAACAGAAATAATTCCATTTGAGACGCGATGGAATGGTAATGAAATGAAATAAAATATGAAATGAAATAAAAGAGGAAATAGAGAAGAGACGGAGATTAATCAAAGTAATGTTAAAGACCTGCTAATTACATAAATGATTTTTCCTACTTTTAACATTTATAATTATGGTTATCAAATGTGTGGGAGCGGAGATTAAATCTCACAGTGTTGTCTTTTTGAAATTTAAATGGAAATCCGACCTTGATAGCAAATTATTCTTAGAGGAAAGCAAATAAAAATCAAAAAAGTAGATTGGTGAAAGTTTGACCAAAATCGGAGCAAAAAGAGAAAATTGTGCATTTAAAAAAAAAATTGTAACCACTACAAATATGGGCTCTTTAAATTGGCTGAAGCGGTGATGTCTCTCTGATATAGTGGCGACAAATTTTCCATAATAACAAACTCATTTACACATTTCAGATGAAAATACATTTCTAATATTTTTAAAATTTAATCATATCTTTTAAAAGTTAGTGATAGTTGCATCATGGAATATGCCTTGGTTCGTTAATATATATATATATATATATATATATATATATATATATATATATATATATATGTATATTTTTAGGACTCGATTTTTATGTCTAAAACTTCATTTGTTGTTTCTATTTATGGGGTCGTAAAACTTACTTTTTACTGCAGCCCAAGTACATGACGACTATTATCACAGTGGCTGATACGATGAACCAACCCATTAAAGAAAAGACTATGAAGTCACCCTTCAAATAAGGAGCTACAAGAAGAATACAAACAAAATGCAGAAGATTAGTTATGGATATCATGTATCAACTACTTCTTACAGATATATATTCAGTCTCATTCTTTAAAGCATGTTGGTATTTTTATTGCGAGATTATGTATTTTCTTGAAATTATCGAAATTTAGGCGCGAACAAAAAGAAAAAGACTTAACCCATTTAAAGTTGTATATAATTCATTTTGCAGAAAGTCAAGACATATAAAACAGAATAAATTGAAAATGCAATAATGATATCAATTATAATACATGTAATATAAAAGACGGGATGCTAGGGACGGCATCGATCGTCTTCAAAATGTGGAAGTACTTTTCCTAATATTAATTCAACAGATTTTCATTCCCCAAATCATGGCCATACTTTGATCAAAGGTTGATACCATAAAAGTGTCAATAGTTTCATCTCGCTCGTTCCATCGCAGCATTATACGACTATACGAGAAAGAAAAAAAATCGACTCCCATAGCAGGATTGTGTCCAAACCATGCATACGACTATGAATGAACCTCTATATTACTAATCAAACAAAATTATGTAGATTTTGTTAACATCATTTATTTCTGAACAAAGTTACCCATGTGGCATGTCATGCCCTCATATCCAGCCGGGCACATGCAGCGGTACGAGACGTTGTATTGTCCACTGGGCTGGTCCAGGCACACACCCTTGTGATGGCACGGGTGGGAAAGACAAGCACCCATCGGGTCTGAAAGTAAGAACAGGACCCTGTTTCACAAAACTTGATATCAATAACAAGTTTCAAGCTACTGTTATAAGCTACTGAAATCATGGCATCTGATTGGCAGAGAGTGAATTTGTCATAAAAATTGTTATAGGTAACAAGTTTTATGAAACGGGCCCCAGAACAGCAACATCAATTATGTTTGAGGCGGATTAAGGGGAGGGGGCATATGTCCCTAGAAAAAGAAAATCAACAACAAATCTGGCATACATTAAGTATGCACAAAAATGTGCCCTAATGATTTTATGTTTGTCCCCCCCCCCCCCCCTCTAGCTTTCAGGCAGCTGAAAAAATGTAAAAATTTATTGAAGGTATTACAAAGTTTTGGGAAATTTTGAAAAATGGGTGGATAGTGATTCTTTACAATTTTAATATATTTGGATGCCCCTGTGGATGTATTAAAAACACCAGAAATTTTAGCCCCTAAAACACTTCTTTTTTCGAGAAAAATGGAATATAAAGATTTACCGGTGCTCCCGGTAAATTTTGATAAATTTCAAATAGCTCCTACGGCCGTACAATGGTAGCTGCGACCATGAAAATCTCAGAGTATGTAGTTGTGGTATATAATTTCCGAACAAGAATAGCTAATCAATTTTAGTCAATAAACATTGTTTTATAGCTTAATTAATATCTTGACCTTGAGAGGGAGCTATTCAACACAAATTGTTTATTATTTACAATTTCATAACTTTAGAGTCAATTCCGACCGCGACAACGATCACTGAATATTGTAGGATCGTATATGCTTCCAATATTTTCATTTGAACCAAATTCATGACCCCATACCAAAACTTTGTATTACCTTTAAGTCTGTCATAATCTAGTTACGAAAAGACGCCACCTGAGGACTTTGAATTGAGGAACAGAAAATGAAAGTCTGGAAATATCAGACATAATTTGGATTTCTTAGAAGTCCTCGTTACATATGGCTGCAAGCCTTTGAACAATCCTTCTTCGGCCCTTAAATAAATATTAAGTAAACTGTTTACATCTTCAGATAATCTTTTTCAGTCTCTCATTGACATTGACATTTCTTGGCAAAATTGATTTATCATAATTATATACGAACAAAAAATGCTACCGCAAGTAATAATATTTATCGATATTTCAACACCATAGGCGCGATGACCTATAAAGGTAAATCAGTGGTTTCGTAAACGGGAGGTCCCGAGTTGGAAACCAAGTCGATGTGCTAGTGCCCTTTGGTAAGGCATTATTCCTCATTACCAAGTCCCTCGGAGAGAACTTAAAGCCGTTGGTTCCCTGGTTGCTTACTTTCTTAGCAGTCGGGTAAAAAAACAAAACAAGCAGACAATACCCTCTCATTCATAGTTCCATTGATTTTTGCTGCTTTATCATGAAGCTTCCTTCATTTATTCATGTGCAAACTAATGAAACAAATTTCCATTTTTTACTTACCCGTTTTCCCTTTGTCATTTGTGCCTCTGCTTCCACCATAAGTGACAATGCAGTGGTAGCTCCCTTCAGTTGGTTCATCCTCGGTCACAACCAAAGTGGTTCCCTCTATGTGGTACCTAAGAATAAAACAATAACAAATATTTTGAACACTAAATTTTCATGCATTTATTTCTTTAATCAAATATTGTCGTATCGAATGATGATAGGGATCAAACCAAATAAATTGGAGAACAGAACTCTGAGAACACTGTAATATTAAAAAAAAAGACTAGATGCATATATAAAGGCCTCTTTTATTCTCATTTTTCACCACTTCAACATTCTAACTTTAGAAAAATAACGGACTTGAAACACAAGAAATCTTGGACAAGGAAAAAAAGGAAGGCATACGCAACTGGCTGTTTTTATTAGAGTGATGAAATAAAAAGAGGTGGCATAACAAACCGAAATCAGGGCACAATTTTGTAATCTTTGTCAAGGGGCGCACGTCCTCCTTGCCCAATAGGGACTTTTAGATTTGCACGTCGACAGCTTTGACTGCAACGTGTGACGTCATTTTAAGGCACTGCGCATGCGTTATGTCGTCTCAGTCGGCGATCGGGAATGCGTCAACCTTGATTTTCCTAAATCTAGTACATGCATACATATTGACATTTATATAGCGCCTTTACATGCTGAAAGGTACTAGTATGCCGCGTGCGCATAAAATATACAGTTCCTCAGGTAGACAAAGGAATATCCCTTTTCCTGTTAATATGTAAAAATGTGTAGAACAGGTGTCACATGCATATTCACCTGTTCTCCACATATTTACATGTTAGCAGTGAAGGGATGTTCTTTTGTTGAGGGTAGAATGAGGAACTGTATATTTTGTCCTCTTTCTTTGTCCGTGATGTTTATTGTGTTACTTCCTGCATGCATATCGTCGAGTGCAATCTAAAAGATTTCTAATTGTTGCCAACATGGGCAGTTAAGTACGTTGACACGCATGATCAGTCGGCGTTCGTCGTGTTCTCGTCCCTTCTCGTCCACTCAATCTAAAAGTCCCTAATGTTTCCCCAAAGAAAAAAAGAGTCTAATATGAAGGTGACCTACAAATTCACGAACAATCACGAAAGTATTGACAAATCTTGCAAAACAAAATCACATTTTACATAGATTTAAAAATGTACACACAAAAACAAATTACCACATTTTTTCCAGCATATATCTGATTGGATCTACCTACTTAGAGTTTTTCTCATGTGTCATCGCATGTGTGATTTTCTCGCCTGATGGGCTGGTCCAAAAAAGTTCCATGGGAAGATGAGCCCGACTTTCATCCAGATGGCATTTGATTCGTTTGGTGTGGTGATGATGTTGGCCGTGGTCGGTCCGCCTCGCAGCGTCTTCTTCCGATTTCCAACCACCACCTCCGACTTGATAAACAAAAACATAACGTTAGAAAACAAGTCATATAAAGAGAAATCTAACCTTAACAGACAACTACTCTAAAAGGAAGCAGAAAAGAAAACCCAGAGAAGCAGACTGGTGAATTTTAAAAATTAATTTTGGATAAAAGATAAGAGAGTTATGCATGTCTGGAAGTTGTTATTACTATAGCCTACTTATTGGCACTTAATTCACATTGGCTGAATGGGTAATGTCACAGTGACGGACTACTTTCCAATTTGTTTCAACATAAAAAAAGATTAAAATGTCAATTTGTCAAAATCTGGGTGGCTTTTTCTTTTTCGAGGACATATCAAAATATGCTATCCATAATATATATTGAGGGTAAAGGTATTTTTGAGAAAAAAAGGCAAATAAATCATAGTTTTGTACACGACAAAGGGGAGAGTTGTCCCGTGACTACGTCACAATCCAAATTATCCACATCAGCAGGATTCAGAAAGTGAAGAATTTTGCGACTCACCCCTTCTAGAGTAATTTTAAATATAAATCTTCACGTAGGAAATTGTTAATGTTTTTTTAGCGAAGATATAAATGTGCCCTACTAAAACAACAAATTATGGCACAAGTAAAAAAAAAAAAAAAAAAAAAAAAAAAAAAAGAGCATGGGAGCTGTGAATATGAAAATCTCAGGATATGCAATTGTGATATATTATTTCCAAACGGGAATAGCAAATCGGTCGACTGTAGTCAAGAAACATCGTTTTAAAGCTAAAGCAATATCAGTTTTGAGAGCGCGCTATACAACACAAGGAGTTTATTATTTACAATTTAAAGAATGAAACTAAATTACCATTGTTGCATTCGTCTAGCCGGCAGGTCCGCGTCTCCTCTCGCTGCGCAGTGCCGCAACCAGGCCCCTTGTCTGGATCCTGGAGGCAGGAGCGATCCCGGTGACTGAGACCGCTCCCGCAGGAGACCGAACACACGCTCCATCCAGACCAATCTCTCCATTGTGACAAGGGCGTCTCCTCTCCCACCTCTACTGCGGCTCCATCCCACTCGTCTATAGACCGGGGAAAAAATATTCATCGGTTTTTATTTCTCATCGTAACTGCGTATCATTGTGTTGGCTTCATTTAAGCCCCATTATACTACTTGTAGCTACTTGCTCCCTCTATATAGAAAACAATGCCTAAGCGGTGCCCGTTGGTCCCCCAAAATCCTCTTTTTCTTATTTTAACTGAGAGCTAAGTTGATGAGATAGCCACCAGTGACCTTGTTGGGTGATCTTCTTCCTCCTGGCCAAACTATACAGACGGGCTTTAATATAGAAGTGTAAGTAAATTGGTCACAGATCCATGATTCTATGTTATTAACACAATATTTAAAAAAGGAGAGGGGGAGCTTCGACAAGCCAAACTATACTGTGCATGTTAAATTTTGTTATACGATTCCCTTTTTTTTAGGGGGGGGGAGGAAAGATTATTTCCCTCTTATTCTGATTTTGGTTTAATAGTAATTATGTCAGGATCTCATTTGAAGAAACGCTATGATTTGATTTGATTCGCAAGTGATAGCTGTATTAATGCCACTGAGTCCGCTTATACGCAAAGGGGTCCTGAATACTTCACTTCAAAAGGAACACAATGCAATTAAGACACTGGGTTGTAAATGAAATTATATCAAAATTCTATCAACATTTTAAAATTTAACACCAAGGGTGCTCCATGAGTGTAATAAATTCAGCCATCATAGGTGTATCCGTGGTGTCATTTCAAACACCGGAGCACTAATTGGCGGGACACACTCACCAGAGCACTTCGGAAGTGCGCATTTAACATCATCGTACTCGACACCGTAGAGGCAGGTGTTGGTGTTAGGTCCGGTGCATGCTCGATGTCTAGTCTTGGTGCCGTGTCCACATGAACTGGAGCAATGTGACCACTCGCTCCATTCTTCCGATTGAGATTGAGGTGCTGCAAGAGCAAATAAATCTATTTGAACAAATTTTGTTTTTAACATAATTATAACTTCGATCTTTCCATTTTTGCCAAGTCAGTCTACAAGATCATTATCAAACAATGAATATCCACATGGAGAAAGTTAGTTATATTGATGGGAGATATATTTTTCATGTCCTTTTTGAAATCAGATATATAATTATAGAGAAATTGATATATACGAACTTGGAGTAATGTCTGAAATGTACAAGGACATCTGTTGACATAAGAGGACTTGCTGTCTACACTTGCAGGGCCCCTTCAAGTGTAGACAATATGGGCATGGTACCATTGAATATTTTCGAAATACTTTACTTTACTTCTCTATGATATACTGTAGACTTTGTTTGCTCCCGAAGGTAGTTTCCTCCAATAATATGACGAGCAATGACAAGACTGAGCGGAGTGCCTGCTACTGTACATGTATTGTCTGAGTTGACATGTCACTTTCATGGTACTTAGAAACTCACCATTATTTCTTCCTGATACCGGATCATAAGCCTGTTCCCTTCTCCCTTCTGCCTCATCATCATAAATAGAAGTCAGTTCTGGCTCCGGTGCAGAGGGCCTATCTGCAGTCGCTGCACCATTGTTTTCAGCCTCGCCAATGTGTTCTAGATAAGATTCATCTATAAGAGTTACATCATCATTGTTTTCAGCCTGGCCAATGTGTTCTAGATAAGACTCATCTAGAGTTATATCATCATTTTGCCCCCATCTCCATTCTAGATGATCATTTGGTGGTAAGTCATTTCTGCTAAGAGTGCTGCCTCCGAGTCGGTCTTCGTGCCCTACCGGACCATTTCGAATGCCTTTAATGTCGTCACGATTATCAGACAGACCATCACGTGAATTTCCTCCACTGTTTCGTTGACTCTTTCCTACTTCCTCTTCCTCGAGTATTTCCTCCTGCAGCTTACGAAATTTTTCCGCGTCTAAAGACCTGCCGTCTACATCCCCCGTGAATTCATCAGCTTCCTGCAGATCACTTGATGGGTCGTAACTGTACTCTATTGGTTCCGATGCTGACGTTTCAAAGTCACTTTCTTCTTTCGCCGATCTCGACGCTCTGGCCCGCGCAACCTTGTGACCTATAGCACTTCTTAAATAATTTGAACGACCATACCGTTCGTTATCAGTAGATGACCGGAAACCCTGATTGATCCGTGGTACGTTCGGACGGACATCTGGGGACTCTGCAGAATAGCGCGGAGTGATGTCTTCTTGGCTTTCTGGTTCGTTTCGCTCTTCGTTGATGATATCCTGCTGCAGAGCTCGAAATGCTTGTTCAGTTTGAGGCATACCAAGTTCAGGCATAATCCTCTCTGAAGTAACTGATGCCGACATAGAGTCCTTCTGTTTTACAAGACGACGATTCATTGCGTCTATAATGCTCCGATCTCGTTTACTCTTGGTTGATTTTGCTTCTCCCCACGTATCCACAGAAACCCCGGTATCATAAATTGCATCTGCACCATCATCGGGATTAAAGTGATAATCCCAAATTTTGTCTTCAATTTCATCATAGTCTGCGGACACAAATTCACTGTATTCCGCAAAAGATTCCCTATAGTCAGATCTGATGTTGTCATCCGGTGTTTCACTCTGCGGATCATCTTTGGAGTATGTTCGTGTCGGGTTTGGGCTGTTCGTTCCTTCTTGGAATAACCTAAAACCAAGTTCTTCATGCTGTGATATTTTGGGTAAATTCATACTGGAAATAGTTTCGCCATCTCTGGACCACACAGGGATGTCCACAGAAGCGTAATCCGGACGATCTTCGTTGTTGTTGGCCACCTCAAGACCGCTCTCCCTTTGTCTAGTCTCAAAGTCCGAACGCCTTGGTATCCGAAGTTCATCATCTCTGTTTGTAGAAGACACTCTGTAAAAGGGGCCACTGTCACGCCTACCATTAATCGATGCTGTTCGGGACCCAAGACGTTGATACTCCATCCGGTCAAGCCTCATTCTTTCACGATTAGTCATCGGTCTTGCACCAACAGGAGAGCTCGCAGTCGTTGTTGTCGGCGTAGCCTTTGTGGTCGGCGTGGCCGTTGTTGTCGGCGTAGCCAAGCTTGTTGTTGTTCTATGCGGGGTGCCAATATGTGGAGCAGCCGCTCCATGGGGTACAAATGGGTAGTAGTTTGGGATAATCTTTGTCGATTCACTTGTTGTTTTTTGTCTGGTGCTCCTTTGTGGAGCAGCCTCTCCATGGTCTTCTTGCACCCGTCCATGAGGTACAAATGGGTAGTAGTTTTGGATTATCTTTGGCGGTTTCCTCGGGTGAGGCGATGAGGATCCATGTGAGTGACTTTCTCCAGGGGTGAGACGACTTAGCCTGCTTAGGTGATCTGTGCGTAGGTCCCGTAGTTTCTTCATGATCTCATGTTTATTAATTCTATTGTCATGTTCTCTTTCTTTGTGGTGCCAACTTGACCGCAAACGTTGTAGCGTTTTAACCTCTGACTGAATCCGCTGTCGGTAGATGTCATCCATAGATGGCGGGCGATTTTGTATCGGATATTCACTAGGGTTGGTGAAATTTCTTTGCCAATAGTAAGGATTAGCCGGCTGGTTGGGTGGACGTTCCTGGGACTGCAGTGGTTGGAGACTGGTTTGGTGAGCAGTTCTTCCAGCAGATGTTTGTTGTCTATATCCTCGATAAGCTCCTGAAGCCGTCTGCTGTCGCACAGCACCCCGACTCTGTTGACGGGGAGACTGATATGCAGGTGCTTGAGCACTGTTTACTTGCCGGTTCTGCCGTCGTTGAGGAAATTGCCTGGGTGATTGCCTTGAAGACAACAGAAGGTCACGAACTGGACGAGACACTGTACTTTGGTGTTCAATATTCGGTATGTAAGAATGGGCAGGTAAGCGCTTCCTTCGTAACGCGCGAGTGCCTTTTCTTACTGCTCTCATTGAAGTATTTCGGGTCTGTAGCCAAGTGTCAACCGAAACAGGTCCCTTCGGTACTTGAAAGGTTGGTCCAGGAAGTTTACTCGATGTTGCCTGTTCTTGATGATATGTTAGGTCGTTCCTCCCTCTCCTAGCACGTCGAACTTTCGTAGGCACCGATGTTTCTTGATTCTTCACAGAATTTCTTGGATTCTCCATATTACGCCATTTTGAATTGTCGCGTAAATTTAAAGGTCTGCCCTCTTTTGGTATAGATTCATGAGATGCTTTCTCACTTGGTTTCTCCGCTGCTTGTTGTTGTAACAATCTATTTTGCCAAGTTTGCCAGGGCACAAGTAGCAGTACTTCCTCACCTTAATAATGAAAATGAAATTTCGGTTTCGATTAAAAATAAGTACGTATTTTGTTAACAATTTAGAAGACTAATTATGTCAGTGTTTGACATTAAAAGCGAGAGAGAGAGAGAGAGAGAGAGAGAGGGGGGGGGGGGGGGAGGAGGAGACCATGTATTCATACAACAAAGATATTAAAGGTTCCTTAGTAAAAGTCCAGCTAAATATTTAGTGCTGCCTCCCTAATCCCAGATACGTGAACATAAAGAGCAGGCATGCTTGCACGCATCATTGTCCACATAATAATGGCGTTTGATTCATGGTATTTTCTGCATCATTAAAATCATTAAATTGGCAACATGTTCAAAATTTAAGATACCAGTGTTTTCAGTGAAATAGGAATATCCCAAGAACCTAAATGACATCCCTCATATTCTGTTCAGATAGGTCCTACCTGAAAAATAGCAAAGTGAAACAATCTATTCAAAGGAGAAATTAAAAAAAAGATCAATAATTTATCAAAGAATATTGACTTTTTTGAATTACCATGATTACTTTGATCTTGAAGGGGTACACGAATGACGGTTTTCATCCAAGGAGTATTTTGATATGATCCAGTAACCATGAGAACTGGGTTACCATGGTGGTATGTATTTGACGGCACATGTACGTCACAACTTGTCTTGTTCCTATAGATACAGAAGAAAAAAACTCAATTGGCGTTAAAGTTTATTTACTAATTTATTTAATGAATAATTGCAAAATATCAGATGAAATAATGTCAACAAAAAATAATTTGCCCGTGTGGAAACCAAGTTAGGCCCTTTCTCTCCGCCCATTATTTGTCAGACATGCCAAAATTATAGCGTTTCCTTTCTTCTGTTTCTTCAGTTCTTTGTTACTGTCTCGGATTTTCGAAACTTAGAGCTAGACATGAGTTTTTTTTAGGCCTGTGGCCACAACAATACTTTGATTAGGTGGGAGCGGGAAGGAAACATTTCAGTTCAATTCAAATTTTGTTTATCATAATCCAAACAAATGGGATAATTGTCTATTCTTTTCTAACAACAACATAGATAATAATTGATCATGGATAAATTCAAATAAGGGATCTAAGAAAGTCAGATTCTTTTCCTGGTCCGAGGTGTCAAGTGATTGACCGGGAGAGAGAGAGAGAAGGAGGACGGGTCATACTCTGTCCCCACTACTCTCAGTGGTTAATGCGAACGAGGTTAGATAATCTGTTTTTAGTGAGCTCGTGATATATACATAATGTTCAAGTACCTGCATTTCTTAACCGGATAACTATCTTCCCGCCCCCATTGCCGCATGGCTGCCTTGATAATCGTCCATCTTAGTTGAATGCTGGCTGGAGACATCATCCCAGCATCGGCCTGTATCCTAACGTGGTGGATTCCGGTTCCACCTGCCATAGCAACCGCTCCCGCTGAGGAAGAGATGACACGAAGACATGGTGCCTGCACGGAGTGACCAGGTGCTGCTAAGGGTAATAAACAAATAAATGTATTAAAAAAGACTTATATCTATTTATATGCCTATAGGGGCGTAGCTTGAAGGCGTACGGTAGCTTAGAACTCTTGAAAGTTACGTGAAAGAGAGAGAGAGAGAGAGAGAGAGAGAGAGGGGAGGGGGTTGGAAACGGAGAGATGCTCTCTAAAAAAAAATCGAGTGATCACTGATGTCATTTCTCTGGAGAGTGAATATGTAATGAAAATAGAGTGAACATTCACTCTTTTCTTCTTAGAGAGCACTCAAAAATCGATCGATATTCACTCCTAAACAAGTGATCCCTGACGTCACTTCCAAGAAAGTGATAAAAGAGGGAAAATTCAATTTTTTTTTATAGAGAGTACAGGCCTATAATCTATATAGATAACCTTTTGAGACTTTGAGGACTGTTTTATAAATCTTCCCCCTTGAAAGAAAAAAAAAATCACACCGTTATTACAATTATCCTTATTATATCACCATCACCTTAAACAGTATCATCATCACCAACCATCGTCATCATTCTCTTCATCATCTAGATCCACTTCTACTTCTACTTCTACGACGATACTCAGCAGGATCCATAAGTCAGGATGTAATGCTGAGGAATAAACTATCTAGTTCTTGGTCTAGAAGCTGGGTGACCCTACCCTATAGACCCTATGCCTAATCTGCGTCTTCATCATTATCCCCATCTTTTTCTTTATCTTCATCAGCAGCAGAACCGCCACCGTTATCATCGACTCCATCATCTTATTCATCATAATTACCATCATCGACATTCTCTTCATCATTATCATGATCATTCTCTTCATCCCGCACCCAACTCTACCAGAACTCATTTTTTCCCTCGGACAGTAACTGCGTGGAATGCACTTTCGAAGATCATCCTTGACGCTACTTCACTGAAGGGCTTGAAGGGAGCGCTTCCACCCAGCATCTAGACCAAGAACTAGATAGTTTATTCCTCAGCCCTACTTCCTGACTTATGGATCCTGCTGAGTATCGTCGTAGAAGTAGAATTATCATCAGCATCATCATCATCACCACCACCACCATCATCGTCATCATCCACAACACACGATTTACCGTGAGCAAACTGATCTTTGTAGCACTGCCATTTGTTCTCTGTAGTTTCATTTTGATGTGCTGTCTGCCCGTCTTGAAGCTCTCCCAGTACGTGCAAGCCAGATATCGGCAACACGAAAAGAAGCGCAAAACTACAAAGAATTGACCCAAAAGCTACAAAATAAAGCATCACTTGCAGCTAAAAAGCAAAGATTCAGCGTTACGATGGGATAGATGCAAAAGACCACGTCCATGATTTTACCAAAAATTAGTTTTGTAGGAAGGAGAACTAGCGCGCGCTTTTAAATGGCAAGGGCGCGCATTTATTACACCCATTTGTCTCGCGCGTAACATTTTTCCCGGGGGGGGGGGGGGGGGCGGTCAGAATAGGCCTATATTGAGCACACGTACGTACGCGTGACCACATATTTTTTTTGTCTACTCCCCCCCCCCCCACCTTTCCATTGACCAACCTTTACCTCAGTTTCGCATTTGTACTCGATTCTTGTTTATAACCCCTCAACAAGACTTGACTCCTTAAATATTAACCCCTGTCAAAGGTTATCTCAGTGAAATCTCTAGTCGAAAAAGGTACCCTAAATGCGTTTTTAAAACGAAATTAACAAACACTCATCGTTTCCAGATTAGTTGCGGCTTTTTTATTTTGACGCCCTTATGGCTTATGGCTTTTTCCAGATATGACGCGGTTAACCGCGGCCGCAGAAAAGCTGCAATGTTGTGTTACGTGTAATTAAATTAATGGCAACAAGGACTTACGCATATTCACTGAGCCAATAGTTTTTTTTTTTTTTTTTTTCTCGAAAGTGTGTACAATAAAGACTTCCCCCGCTTTTTTCTTCAAAAACATGATAAAAAACGATTTCAAACCGCGTCATATGTTAATTCAGCCATAATTATGCTAACTATTTCGTCAAAAGGTTTAATGCAATTTAGAAGCAATAGAAGGCTACGTTATTTTGATATTGAAAAAAAAATATCAAAAAATACCGCTCGTTCAATAAGTATTTTTTAAACTGTCACTATCACAACTGTGAACGGGGGCTTATAAACCATGTATGAGATGTTGAATAACATTGATATAGGCCTACACAAATTTGGTTTTCAAACCAGAGAAACTATATTTACCATAAGAAATAGTGCATCATACAGATCAGTTGAAATCTGTCCAAAACACAGACTAACCGATTGTAGATGTGCGTGAAAAGCTGCGCTTATGCGCTGCGCAGACGGTAGACCCCCCCCCCCCGTCTAGGGCTTGGAGTAAGACGCAAACGCCCACAAATATCAACTTAAAACAACATACGAAGAATAAGAAAATATAGACAAATTTGATTTGATTTATTTATCTCTTTTTTTTTCCATACAATAATAATCAGTAGAAATATAAACATTTTGTTAATAGCTGTAATATATTTTTCAAATTACAAAGAAACACACAAGTTATGAAACGAAATGTTGGGAACGATTGACATATAGCAGATGCAGAAGAACTGCAGTGTAAGCGAGCGCTTGAATTCCATGCACTCCTTTATCCTATAAATAAACAAGTTCATAGGATGTTTATGGCGCTTTATTACCTAAAAGTGCTTTGGCAATAAAACAAAATCGCGTGCGTGCATAGGGGTAGTCCAGAATCTGGCCTATTTAATTTTGATCTCCACCCACACCAACGCTAACCTCTCCCTACTTACTTGCTACCAGCCGATGATGGCGTGATCATTAAATTAAAGCTGGGCTGGTGAGCATAATTATGAGTTTGTTGATAACGCCATCTTCGACGGCTTGAATCAAGTGTAGGGAAATTATAAAGGACCGTGCAGATTCTGGACTAGTGTAGGGGTGCCTTTGATAATTTTGTCCCACTTTTCAAAACGTGGGGTTACGTCTCCCCCTTCCCTACCACATCTTTCGGATTATCTCTCTCCATTCTATCACTCTTATCCATTTAATGAGCCACTTCGGAGATACTGCTTGTGCAAAGGCATGCAGATAAAGGTACCAATTTTGAAAAAAAAAAAAAAAAAACATCGAGACAAGTATTATATACGTACTACTGAAAACTATGTAATCATAATGATCATTTATTTACCGACGGAACATTCTCTATTTCTCTATCATACACAAGTGGAAGTATTCTTCACAAAAAGGCAAACGAAAAATCTTCATGAACTTCGTGCACAAGGTGGGATGTCTCCATGTGTAAAAGATCCGTGGAAATTCGGTGGTCTTTCATTGTGTACCAAAGCTAACTACGAGCTGGTATATTCCCGGCAATCATTGGTGGTACCATAAGACAGAACACAAGCCCGTCGACTGCGGCGATGAACATAAACGACGCATTGAAGCTACCATACACGTCAGCAACGAAACCTGGAAAAAACAACAACAAAAAAAAAACCCTTTCTTAAATTCGATTTTATGTGTTTGTGGGCGCGGGGGGGGGGGGGGGGGGGTATCAAGCACATTTGAGAAAAAATAAGCTCTGTCGGTAAAAAGTTGTAGACGGGATTGGATTTCGTTAATTAAATTAACAAAATTTCATTAAAAAAAAATAGTATCCCTCCAAGTGAGGTTCTAGGATAATTACCCCCTGGACAATCACCCCCGACTAATTACCAACAGGATAATAAACCCCCGAAAAATTAGCCTTCAAGGACAACCACCCATGAGGACAATTACCCCCGAAAAAAATTAAAACCACTTAATTATCAGGGTGGACTTCCCTATTAATAAACAGGGGGGTAATTTCCCGGGGAGGCGGGGGTGGGGGTGAGGATGGTGGTGTGGTAATGGTCGTCGGGACGGTTGTCTTTGAAGGTAATTTTACGGGGGGGGGGGGATTGACCAGAAGTTAACTGTCCCGATACGGTCCCACATACCCATCCCTGTGTGCAGTAACATACAATGACTATTTCTTTTCATTTTGATCTAACAAAAACTCCACAGCTCACATAATTTCTTATGTAATACATGACCAACTCCCCCTAATAGCTTCTAGTTTCTTTCACTGTGTTAATACATGACTACTTTTCAATTTTTTTCCAAGGACATGATTGAGATAACTATTCCCTATTCTTAGGGAATTTTACAAGACGCACCTGATAACCATTCTCCAAATAGGACTCCGAGTCCAGAGACGATGTCCACCGAGGCAAGGATCAAAGGAAACTCTGCATGAAGAGCTCTTTCCTTGCAGATCACTAAGGCCAAAGTGTTTCGAAAGGAAATCGACAGAGACGATATAAATGACGTAACGATCATGACAGCAACATTTGGGACAAAGATGTCGACAAGGAGCGATGCCACGTTGAGTAAGGTCAGGAAAGAAAACAATCGTTGGGCTGAAAAGATTTTCTTGTAAACGAGTAAGCCTCCAAAACAGCGGGTAATGAAGGCTGCGGCCGCCGAAGAGTAAGCGAGGAAAAGTGCTCTTCTTGTCTCGATACCTCGGCCAACCGCGCGAGGGATCAAGAATGCGTACCAGCTGCCGCTACCCATGGCATACACTAATGAGGCAAACATCAGAAGAACTAACCAGCGATCACGATTGTAGACAGAGTTCTGTAAGATACGAATAGCACAGCCACACAATTCAGAACAGTTCATCCTCATGTCTAGATGCCATGAACTAACGGACGGTATCTTCGTCAATCCGATCTCATCATTAGTTGTTTCTTCGTAGACTTCATCCATGTGGCCATTATCTTTTCCAGTGCTGTTGTCGCCATATCCAGGTGGCCTTTGGTCACAGAAACCATTGATGGTTACCTCATCCTGCTGCCGAATCGATGCTCTCTCCACTAATCTTGCACTAGATTCTTCGTCGGTCGCATCCGGGGATTCATCAGGGTTTTCAGCACCGCTGTTGCTGCTTCCAGGTGCATCCTGTATACAATGTCTAGCTGTATTGATATCAACTATCATCATCAAAGGGATAAGATGAGTCATGATGCCTCCGATTATCAGCAAAGACCCTCTCCAGTCGTAGATGTCCATCAGGTAATCTGCCAACAGAGGCACGAAGGTCATTCCGAAGGCATAACCAGATTTGCCTATGCCGTAGAAGATGATAAAGGCATCACCACTTTCGTTACTCAGAGTGATCACGACTGAGATTGAGAGGATGTTGTAACCGAGACCTGCAGGAAAATATAAATGACATCCAAATATTTGTTATAATATTGGATGGCTTTGAGTGTGATACAAGAACATATTGCTCGAGCTATGACAATATTGGACGAGTCGGAGACGAGTCTAATATTGTCTTAGCGAGAGCAATATATATTGTATCACACGAAAACAAAGTCATATAATATTATTATTATTATCTTTATCAGGCTGACTAGCGAAATAACAACATTTGACTGACCTCGGTAAATATGGCTTTGTTTTCGTGTGATATCGATATGATATCGATAGCAATAGTTGACGTTCCCGGATGACTGACCAATACGAAAACAATATTGGTTGGTCATCCGGGTACTGCGCTAAAGAAATTGAATGCACTGATTTATTGTACCACTTGGAAGCCTTATATAGATAATGAATATTCTTCGCATCATAAATATAACGTCCTCGAATATCTCTCTGTCCTATGTGGTATGCTTTTCTTGTTTGATACTTTACCGACAGCATTGTTACGGGTCTTTATTCACTGGGACTCGACTTCGTATGCCAGCTATACGTTTATCATCCTAATCATTATCTTATGGTTACAATTACAAGTTATTAATATTATTACTAAGGCCTCGTTCAGAATTGAAGCGAGGCGTTTTTGGTGTGTGGCTATACTTCTGTTTTCCTGATAATAATAATAATAATAATAATAATAATAGCCTAATAATAGTCCACTCCAAATTTTATTAAACCGAAACGGAAATTCTTTTTGCCCAATTGATCGTGAGCCCGGCAGCCACTGAGCAGCGCCAGATCGACGTTGCTCTATCCCTTATCGTTGAACGCCAAACAAGGTAGCAACAACTCCCATCTTTTAACGTCTTTTGGTATGACGCGGCCGGGGTTCGAACCCACGACCTCCCGGTTGTGTGGCGGACGCTCTACTGACTGAGCCAACACGCCGGTACACTCCGATGACGTTCAGTGTAGTAGGCTTCACTGAATTTGTATATCCTGCGAGTATGACCTTCGATCATTGGGCGCAGTCGCCATTCATCTATACATATTTAAGCCCCGGCTTACCGCGTCATATACATGAACGACCCTTTAGAATAATTTTGATCATTATCATCGATGTCGTTGTTGTTTTTTTGTTTTGTTGTTATATTGATTTGTTAAAGGGATTGGGTAACTTTGTCTCAGATTCTGAAACAAAATCCTGGATTTAGCTCTTGATGCAAACCTTTCGGTCAGTCAGGAACCCCATGACTTTTACACGCCGATCGCCTGTCTGATTATCAAGATATTTATGATTGGAAATCGAAATCAAATTTTGCATTTTCCTAACGGTTTTCATAACACTTCAGTCTATTGGGGAAAACGAGTATGGTAAAACCGGTCACTAAAAGTTTTTTACGTTTTTGAGGCACTTCCTTATTGATCATTTTGAAGCGAAATTTGTGTAGGGCTTCCAATAATTACACCACATCACAGACATTGATAACACGTATAGGGCCGTGCATCTCAGATTTAACATTAAAACGACGCCTTTAAGAAGTCATAGTGGAAAATGGAAACAGTACCGCTAGCTATTAGACAGGAAGCTAACTGGGCATTGTTGGTCACCAGGTATCCCAGGATGAGCCCACCTGGGGCTAGGAATGCCCCCGTCATCACCAGGAGCCTTCTGTATCCTCCATGGAGCCTTTGGTAGAGGAACGCTACAATTGGACCTGCAGAGTGAATACACATAGCTTGTTCTGCATAAAACTTACCATTGTTGGTAACTTTGCCATCAGTGGCAACTACCGTGGTAACAGGGCTCAACAGCCAATCAAACTCAAGGTTTTCATGGTATAGTTACCACTGATTGCAAAGTTACCATCAATAGTAAGTTTTGAGCAACGGGGCCCAGATACGACGAGGCAAGCTGGCCTGCAGAGGTTTTTTCATCTTTTATGTGTAAACAAAAAAAATGATGACATGAAGTGCAATACACTGTGAAAACGTTGGGCAATAATAAGGACCCAACTTCACACATGCATAATAATTGTTTCGTATTTTGCCCAACAGCTGGTCAAGATTTTCCCAACAAGTGGGCTACCGTATTCGGGCAGTTGAAGGGTCATATCTTTGCCCAAATCTCTAGGTCAAAATACGAAACAATAATGCACATGTGACGTAGGGTACTTACGTTTACCAATACCACTGGGCAAAATATTGCCCAATAGATGGTTGGGTTGACTATTGGCACAATCTTGGGCAAAGTGTTGGAAAAATATTGCCCAACCTTTTCACAGTGTACGCTTCGCATTTCTGTATCTTATGACAAAGGGCTCAGTGTATAAGCACAATTCCTTTCTAGCGCGCAGTAAGTTGTCATTAATGTACACGTAAAAAGAACCACAGCGATTTTTGGCGGCACTTTACAGCGCTAAATTATATGAACAATCCTTATAATAACTAGAAATGTTTTGTATACCTCTGAATTATATGTTCATCCATACTTTAGTGAACAATTGATATGGAAATATTGCATGCTCCGGTGTGCATCAAAAACACAATATATTAACCGACAAAGAATTCGCACGAGGAACTCAATCTGAATTAAGAGGTACATATGTTATGTTATACTGAACAACGCCACGTGACACCGTTTTAGCCAATAGGATACCCGCTGACAAAAACCCTATTAAACATATTGAAAAGTGGTGTCTTTTGGCAAGTCTCGAACGCATGCTCGCGCGCATGTATTAAAACCAATGGGCACAGGCTTCAAAAACCGTTCTTTTGTCAAAGATATTGGTGTAACTTTGCAATGCTGCAAAATACAAGGCTGGCGCGAACGGTATTCTATTGTCGATATTTTTTTCTTGTATTTTCCAGAATATGAGAAAATAATTTTAAGATTTCGCGTCGGAAAAGGCCTCGAAAGAAACATTTTCAAGTGAATTTTGACACCAACCCTTCCATAGCAATGCATGTACTTGCGCAATTCGAAGCGGGGGGGGGGGGGGGCACGTGCCCCCCCCCCCGGCCCCCCAATTTTTTTCCAGGATCGGTTGAACTTTTTTAGACCCCCCTTTTTTTACCTCGATCGATTACATGTATGTGCCCCCCCCCCCCCCCACCCCAAACATCAAACTCTGGCTACGTGCCTGGTGCGGTCATTTTACCCGTGTTGTTGGTGGTTGATTTGTTAGTGACTTGTTAGCGCTAACAAACCTGCTACTAAAACCGTTTCTGTGCGGCCGGCTTACCTGAGCCAAATGCGAAGGCACTGAACAAACCCAAATCTAGTCCAATATCGGTTGATGTTAGTCCTAGACCTACTTTCAGCTCGGGTAGATATACGCCGATGGACTTTACCGTCCCCAAAACGTAACATGTTTGAAGAAAGAGAGCTAGGACCAGTTTTAAGGCTGCTCTATTCCTAAACCCTTCACAGTTCGCCATTTTATTTTAATGGATACTCCTAAAGGACGAGAAGAATTGAAACGAGTAAAGAACACGGGTAAAAAAAAAAACACCTTCGGGGCATGAACTTGTAGGCCTAAGTGTGTCATGTCTGTTCATGCGATTCAATCCGCGCCCCCCAAAGACTCAAAGGTGTGTTAGGAAGCGTCTCAATACCATTGTTTGTGGCCACAAAGAGCTTTTGTGGTACATGAACTGAAAAGCATTTGTTTACAAATTTCTCCATCAAATAATATGGCCCGAATTCACAAAGCAAGGTTTGAGCTCAGACCAAGGTTTGAGCTCAAACCTCCTTTTGTTTCGCCAAACCTCCCTTTGTTCTTTACAAACCAGGTTTGTAAATAACAAAAGGAGGTTTGGCGAAACAAAAGGAGGTTTGAGCTCAAACCTTGGTCTGAGCTCAAACCTTGCTTTGTGAATTCGGGCCTGTAAGTTCATATTTGATCAGTCAAATTGTGACACATCTGCGTTGTCCTTACTTAAGCACACTCAACTTCTTACTTTTTCTTTGTCTAGTCTCATATTTGTGCTCTTTGAAACAGCAATACCGAATTAGAGACTGCGGCGATTTATCATTCAATAATTGATATATAAAAACACAAATAGATAGTTTATGTAGTTGATTTTAGCTCGGCTTATGCCGAGAGGGTACGTTGGGAGTGTCGCGTCGCGTTGACGGGAACGCGACCATCCGTCCAAAGCCCCCCCCCCCCCCCGTGTTGCCGAAAGGGTGCGTCGACTAGTCTTCCACATCAGTCGTTTTAATAGAATTTAAGAGCTAGACATTTTAGTCGTTTAAACTGAAATAATCAAAATAGAAACAGATTTAGAATTAAATAAAACTAGTTTTTACGTATCTAATTTGAGAGTACTTAATTGTAAAATGGCCTCCACAAGTATTGATTAGTGGTACTAGTCTTAACAAACTGAAATGAATAACATTTTAAATTGAGTCCTATAATCTGAGATTGAATCAGCCTTTTGTAGGAGTCCGTGGGAAAATGCTTGTGTGTGTAGAGCTAGTAGTATCTGTGTGTGTTTGCCAGAGAGAGAATAAAGACCAGATACAAGTATACAATATCTCTTGTTCATTTCATTTGTTAATTTCAACCATTAAAGAGAAGGTTGAGTTCTGGGAAGAGGTGAAAAATAATTTGTGAGCGTTATCATTGTTATTATTCAAGGGTGGAAGAACATCAGATTAAACATGTTCCCTGAAAAGCATGGCTGTTCAAATGCCTTTATATTCTAAATATGACATAAAACATCGTAAAAATCGGGGGGTAGGTTTTTTTCGCCATGTGCTCGTGTAGTCCCATATACATCATTCTGTGTACAGTGCTTGTAACTTTGCCAGGATTTGGCCAAATTTCTTATCATTTTGATGATTTCAGAACCTTACAATACACACGAATACTTATATACTAGATCAACCTTTTCTGATAGATTTCACATCGTTTCTTTCACAATGCACCACATGACCAGAACTCAACTTTATCTTTAAGGTATCGACGGTTCAAACGCTGTTTGGATAGGCTGAGAAACGCTGTTCGAATAAACTGAGAAACGGTCTTTATCGTAAATATTAAACAGGATAGGAAGGTTTCTCGGAAAAAAGTTTCCTATGTCTCTCGGGTGCAGACAGGGAGCTCCCTTAAGGATACCTCACTATCTTAAAATTCGAAAGGAAAGGAATAACAAAATCAAAGAACTTTTCAGAGAGAATTGGTTTCGCGCAATCTCACATTTCTATCAAAAGGAACATAATAACAAACATTTATAACGAGTACTGATATTTATTCTTAAATTATTGCATCTGCCGAAAAACATAAGCAATACAAATATGCGCTTTTAATGAAATTGGTGCTGTTAATCATAATAAGATAATAATAGAAATAAAAAAGTACTCAACAAAACCTAAACGTTTTTAAGACAAGCATGATAAATATGGAAAAGATTTATTTTCCATAAGATACGCCTTTCATAGGTTATAGGCTTATTATGATTTTGACGAGACAAACCATTATAAAACATACCTTACACTTCATCGTACCCACGATTTTTGGCAGGTCCTTAGCAAAAGGGGGCGGTCGCCCCCCCCCCCCCCAACAACAAAAAACACAAAAAAAAAAAAAAAAAAAAAAAAAAAAAAAAAGCGCTGGCCCCAAAAGAGAGAGAGAGAGAGAGGAAGAAGAGAAAAAAGTAAGAGGACGTAGGAAGAAAAAGGAGTAGACAAAGAAACATGACAAAGACTGTGTTAAAAAGATTCTAAAAGAAACAAGAGATATGCATCATTCATTATCCTTTATTTACAAATTTTATTGTGAAACGAGCTTTGAATTATATAGCCATCAGCCCATGCAGTTCACCTTTCGTCCAGCTCGACATAACATATCGTGCGTACCTTCACAATCGTAAGACTATCGAGCTCTACGGATATTTTGTATACAGCGGGTCGGGTTTTTCTACTTCCTACTTATGTATTCTTAGTGTGTGCCTGATACACAGGGCAAGACTCGTCCAGGCAATATTACTTCTGGCCAATCATATGCTGTATTTCAATGATGTAGCTGATATTCTCTACCGAAAGACGACTATCAATGATGGTCACTTGTTTTAGCAATTTTTCGGTGTTGGCCAATGATTCACGTCAAGACTTTGAGGAGGCGCGATAGCTCAGTCGGTAGAGCAGTGGTCTCGTAATTCGATGACCCGGGTTCGAAACCAAGTCGATACGCTAGTGCCCTTTGGTAAGGCATTACTCCTCATTACCAGGTCCCTCGGAAAGGACTTAAAGCCGTCGGCCGTCTGGTTGCTTACTTACAAGCATTTATTTATGCTTTCTTAGCAGTCAGGTAATATATACAACCACCACCACTTTGGCGCTATATGTAAACCGTGTTTGTTAGAAATATGGACCCATCCTCTTAGCTCCGCTGGCTACCGCAAGCAAGGTTATGCATTGATAAAACGTGGCTACAAGAGGAGAGTGGGTGATGCACATGCGATGATTCAGAATCTCATTCACTTTCATGTAATGTTTGAAATCTACCACTATACTCTCAACGCACAACGCTCAAATAAAAGCAAAATCTTGTATAACAATGAATCAAATTTTGTTGGGGTGAAAATTAAGACAATGATTGAGAGTCTAGACTGGTACAATGAATCGTCCTTCTTCTTTCTCAAATAATTTTATGAAACGTCAAAGCTTCCCGCTTCGTGCGGGAGGAGGAAACTCCCCCTCCCTGCACACACGCCCCAACTCCTTCCTCCTAGCACCCACCCCCTAAAATGCTTCGCCCCCTAAAATAAAATCCGAGCTACGCGGCTGATCTTTGGTTCGACAGGCAGAGGCTTTAATACCGAACGAGCCATGCAACTCGCCTCAGGACGATGTTATTAGGGACTTTTAGATTTGCGTGGACGGTGGACTGATACATGTGACGTCCATTCAAGACAGTGCATTAAAAGGACGTCGATCGTAGCAATCCCCATTGTCTTCGTGCGAATCTAAAAGTCCCTAATAACTTGCCTTTTTGTACCAACAGACCCTTTTCTTAATGTAACCAAATTGAATGCATACGTCTTTGTGAAGTGCCTCAATACAAATATTTCATTCACTTCTAATGAATAATTGTATTTCAATAGTTCAGAGTACAAAAATGCATATATACATGTATTACGTTTGGTTAGGTAGGGCTAGCAATAATGTGTGTCCTACCTGGCAACAACAAATGTATGCGGTTCGCATTTTCACTATTGAAATACAATAGTATTCATAGCAGGTGAATACAAATAATTCGTATCCAGGCAGTTCACAAATACATGCGTTAGATTTGGTAACATTACGAAAATGGTCAACTGCATGACGAGTCACCGACTCCCTAATTAATAAGTCCATGAATTTTATTTTACACACTCCATAATTCAATGAAATTGATATCAACTTGGTATTTCAATTATCCATCGTTTGACACACTCGATTTAAACACACAGAGTAGTCCACAATACAGTAATGCACATAATATGCATACAGTTAATATACATATGGACAAAAATATCGTTTTTGTGGAAATCAAATATGACCTTGGATTGCTATAGCTTTCTACATGAAAAAGATTTGAGCCCCTCCTTGGCACAAGATATTGACCTTGCACATGGGCAAACTCCTGGTAAGTAACAAGCAAGGAAAACTCCCCGAGTGTGATAAATGGAAAATAATGTTTCTTGAAAACATTCAATTTCTTGAAAGAAATCACCGACACAATCAAGGGCCGGTTTTAGGAAACGCCCTCTTCGATTGTGTGGTGGTCGCTACAATCTAAAATACACCTCTGAAGCTGAACCACAGAACTATTTGAGTTCTGTGCTCTGAACAAATCTTTTGAATAACAAAGGTGCGCTTAGGCAGGCAAATCCCTCTTTTCTAGACAGACTTTGGCTCTCCGCTTATTCAGTAATTCCAGACTATAGGGCTTACGTACCGCTTGATCAATTCCTCATAAAAGACTAGTGGCTGAATCCCTGCTCTTTCAATGCTTTTTCGAGGTGCAAAACCAAATCCGTTTATCACGCACTGGTAATCAACTTCTCGTTCGTATCCCAGCGAGAGCACTGTATATCATGTTGCGACTAAAATCTGTTTATTTGTACTAGTACACATATGCAAGGGTTTTCCATATGTGTGAATATTAATAACAGTTTGGTTTTCACGCCCTAATGTTTCAACACCGTAGTTTGTACTGGAGGTTTGTAATGACACTGTGGTCGCGTCTACTGTGAAAATAAATCCATGTCAGGCCTAGGATTCTTGCCAGACGGTGCAATGCTTCACACGTTTAACGTGAAATTGTATTGATGATTTATTTCAAGTCTGTCAAAATGTGAATGAACATGTCGTCATCAACAGAGGTGAATGCACTTTGACTTCGTGAGCTAAATAAGGATAGCCTATTTTCCTGAGGGAATGTCTTCTTCGCCAGCAATCTTGCTTTAAAAGACGATTAATTGGTACGAATTCTCATTTCCAAGATGGCGATTTGTGAGGGTCCCCTAAATGTGGCCGCCATCAAAACAACTCTAGTCCTGTTCCTGCAAACACTCTACGCACTAGGGACGCTGAAATCCATCGGTGTATACGTACCGGAAATGATAGAAGGTGTAGGTCTAACTCCGACAGACATTGGACTTAGTCTTGGATTATATGGGGCATTTGCATTTATTCCAGGTAAGTATTTAAGATTCTAAGTACCAATGTTATGGATCTATATCATTTGATATTTGTGAAAACGTAAAAACTTAAAGCCCGGTAAAGAAGTATGATGATAGTGACATTTATTTATTTCTTTTTAATTTTTTTTTTGTTGGGGGGGGGGGGGGGGCGCTTTTAAAAAGGTAAACGGGTTTACGGTGGCAAGGAGGGGGGGAGGGGGGCGGGCCGGTAGAATCGGCCCGTGGATCCCCGCCTGGCTACAGAGTACTACCATTACCACTACCACTACACCTACTACTACTACTACTACTACTACTACTACTACTCTACATTTACTACTGTTACTACTACTACTACTACTACTTATATTACTACTACTATTACTACTACTTCTACTACTACTACTACTACTTTTACTACTACTATACGACTGCTACTACTACTACTACTACTTTCACTACTGTTACTACTACTACTACTATTACTACTATTACTACTACTACTACTACTACTACTACTACTACTACTACTATGTCTACTACTACTACAGTTACTACCACTACTACTACTACTACTACTACTTTTTCTACTACTTTTTCTACAACTACTTCTACTACTACTACTGCTACTTTTACTACTACTACTTTTACTACTACTATTACTACTACTACTACTACTACTACTACTACTACTATTAATACTACCACTACTACTACTACTACTACTATTACTACTAATACTACTTCTACTACTACTTTTACTACTACTATTACTACTACTACTACTACTACTACTACGTCTACTACTACTACTTTCACTACTGTTACTACTACTACTACTACTACCACTACTACTTTTAGTACTATTACTACTACTACTACTACTACTACTACTACTACTACTACTACTATTAATACTACCACTACTACTACTACTACTACTACTATTACTACTAATACTACTACTACTATTACTAGTCATACTACTTTTACTACTACTACTACTTTTATTACTACTACTACTTTTACTACTACTAACTACTACTACTACTACTAATACTACTACTACTATTACTACTACTACTACTTTTACTACTACTACTACTACTACTACTACTCCTTGGAATTAAACCTTTTCATCTTTGTTTGGCCTGTAAATGGGACATAGTACCTTTAAATTTGATTGCGTTACGAAAATGGTATATACAGGCACGTAGCCAGAGTTCGATGTTTGGGCACATACATGTAATCGATCGAGGTAAAAAAAAAGAGGTCTAAAAAAGTTCAACCGATCTTGGAAATTTTAGGGGGGCACGTGCACCCCCCCCCCCCCGTGGCAACGCCCTTGGGTATATAACGACGGTATGCCGATGTTTGATTTGAAGTCATCGAACAAATAAATATGTTTTTGAATGCGGGATATGGTCTCTGATTATTAAACACAAATTTGAATTAAAAAATAGAACATAGTGGGCGTATACTCAGGGGCGGATCCCGTGTTATAAAAGGGAGCACGAATCCAGAAAATCTCTGTGAGGCAAAAGAATACAAGTGGATCCGCGCCTGGCTACAGAGTACTACCACTACCACTACACCTACTACTACTACTACTACTACTACTACTACTTTTACTACTACTATACGACTATTACTACTACTATTACTACTACTACTACTTTCACTACTGTAACTACTACTACTACTACTACTACTACTACTATTACTACTACTACTACTACTACTACTACTACTTTTACTACTACTATACGACTACTACTACTACTATTACTACTACTACTACTTTCACTACTGTAACTACTACTACTACTACTACTACTACTACTACTACTACTACTATTACTACTACTACTACTACTACTACTTTTACTACTACTATACGACTACTACTACTACTACTACTACTATTACTACTACTACTACTACTACTACTACTACTACTTTTACTACTACAGTACTACTATATGACTACTACTACTACTACTACTATTACTACTCCTACTACTATTACTACTACTACTACTACTACTACTACTTGGAATTAAACCTTTTCATCTTTGTTTGGCCTGTGAATGGGACATAGTACCTTTAAATTTGATTGCGTTACGAAAATGGTATATAACGACGGTATGCCGATGTTTGATTTGAAGTCATCGAACAAATAAATATGTTTTGAATACGGGATATGGTCTCTGATTATTAAACACAAATTTGAAATAAAAACGAGAACATAGTGGGCGTATACTCAGGGGCGGATCCCGTGTTATAAAAACTTAAAGACGAAAAACTCATTTGTGAATATAGAGTACTACGTAATAAGGTTACTACTGATGTAAGAAAAGCAAAGAGAAAATACTACTCTGAAAAATTCTCACTTTCTAGTGCTAATCCAAAACAGACTTGGAAGACATTAAAATCTATCATTCCAAATAAGAAACGTGACACGCCAATAGTTGCGCTTAATTCAGAAAGTAATGTTGATACTGCTAATCTTTTCAATACTTTCTTTGCTGAAGTAGGAAGTAATTTAGCAAAAGAAATTCCTGATACGCCTCTCCCTATAGAAAACAATATACCATTAATTAAGAGTTTTGAGTTTACCCCTGTAACCGAAAATGATGTGTTGGGAGTTATAAACAAATTGAAAATACTAAATCTGTAGGTGTAGATAAAATATCAGTTTTTGTCTTAAAAGCATGTGCTACCGAGATATCACAGAGTATTGCCAACCTGATCAACCCCTCTTTGTTGAGCGGTAAATTTTCTCAACAATGGAAAAGGTCCAAGATTATCCCAATTCACAAAAGTGGCGATAAGAGCTCTCCTTCAAATTATCGGCCCATCTCAATTTTGCCCTGCGTATCTAAAATACTGGAACGGGTTGTCCAAAGGCAAGTTTTGGAGTTTCTACATGAGAACAATATTTTGTCAGCCGCCCAATCTGGTTTCAGGCCACGTTATGTATTACTGGATGTGCCAAAACAAATTAAGTGTCAACTGTCAAAAAACAGTTTGTATGCTCATTGGAAGCAACCACATGATATCTAAAAAGAATGTCCTCCGAGTTTCATTGAATGACATCTCCATAGATCAAGTTCATCATGTCAAGTACCTTGGCGTCTTAGTTGATGAAAAGTTAAACTGGAATTTACATATATACAATATGTTGAAGAAAATTGGTCAAATGGTAGGCTTTCTAGGAAGACTAAGGCGATTCCTAAGTGAATCGGTACTGCAATTAATATATAGCTCACTGATCCTTCCGTATTTTGATTATGGTGATGTTATTTACACTGCAGCTTTCAGGAAATATACAGATCGCCTTCAAAAGTTGCAAAATAGGGCAGGCCGGTTTATACTTAAAATGAAACCTGAATCTCATGTCTCTGTTTTGGAAATGCATAACGCTCTTAATTGGCAACTCTTGGACAAAAGAAGAAATCATCATTCCCTTGTTCTTAATATGTATAAAATTATGAATAATCTAAACCCCGAGTATTTAAGAAATGAATTTGAGTTGAGAACCCATTCATACCTTTCCCGAACTGGAGCTCAAATAAAATTACCCAAACCGAGAACAAATTACCTCAAAAGATCATTCAAGTATAGAAACGCAAAGGCCTACAACACACTTCCTCCTCATATCAAATCGTCCCCTAGTGTTAATACATTCAAATCTAAGATTGCAGAACTGTTACAGTAGCACATGATCCCCCTCCTTATCTTGTTATGATTACTCGTTTTTTATGAATTTTTTTTTTCTTCAAAATGTATTTACTGTTGTTCATTTATGTATTTATGTTCTGTTTTGTTTATGTAATTGTTCCGGACCCCACGGAAGACCAGCTTTCCCATGTCGGGTTAGCTGAATGTGGGCTATCCACCGTATTTTATGCATTTTTACTATGTGTTTATACGGAAATAAATACTACTACTACTACTACTACTACTACTACTACTACTACTACTATGTAACAACTTTAATACCCCAGGCCATGCCCCAGTGACACTAAACGAAACCAGAGACATACTGATTACAATATTCGTTGACATCGATCGTATGGCGAATAATCTGTTGATTTGCCTTCGGTGTATAGTTAGCGTGGTGGTGTGTGACTGAGGTAAAGCGCTTTAATTGCACAGAGTAAACTACACCCGTCCTCGTTAATCTTCATTTCATGATTTCTGCACTTTCCAGGAAGAAGAAGAAAAAGAAAAAGAAGATGATTCACTCATGCGCAAAAATGCACATTATCCCCTTACTTGAGCAAGTGGAGAGGAATATTAGTTAAAATCAACGTGAATGAAATGGCAAATTCACCCTGAGTTTCTTTCGTCATTATACCGCATCCCAAATTTGTCTCCTTTCCCCCTTTTTAGGGGATGGTCAGGGGTGGATCCAGGGGGGGGGGGGGTGCACGCCTCCCCGTTTACCTCCCCCAAACAAAGTCACATACATAGTGGCTCGAATTCACAAACGAGGTTTGTCGACAAACTTTGGTTTTCGTGAGTCATTATGACGCGTTTCGACGCGTTTTTACAAACGAGGTTTGTAAAAAAAACGCGTAAACTTCCTTTGTGAATTCGGGCCATTCAGTTTATTCATTTTCAGAAATGTCTCAGCATGACGTCTTAAGGTTAAAACATTTCCCGGACCCTACGCCGTAAAGGCTTTGCGCTCGCAATTCCATACATTTCACCCCCCCCCCTTTGGAAAATCCTGGATCATCCCTTGTTGCTGTTGGTTGTGCGGGGGCGAGGGTGAGGGTTAATTATGCTATTTTCAAAAGACGAGGGCACATTCCGTTCATTCAAGCGTTCGAACCGATATATTCCAATACACCCACGTCAGAGGCGGACCCAGGACCTGTATAAAGGGGGGAGGGGGGGGGGGGGAGGTACACAATTCCTCCAGTGTTATGTGATTATAAAAACAGGATGTTTTTGTTGTGTTTTACAACACTTGCTCCTGCGACGATTGCTGTGCGTCATTAGGGACTTTTAGATTTGCGTGGACTGATACGTGTGACGTTAATTCAAGGCAGTGCATTAAAAGGACGTAGATCGTAGAAATCCACGTTGTCGTTGTGCATATCTAAAAGTCCCTAATTTCATTCACTAACCAACTTCAATCTTAGATCCAACACTTCACCTACCACTAACCATAACATGAACATTACCTAAAAACTACTTGCAGTCCTAACCCTCTCTATTTAAGAGAAAATTTAAATCGTTTCTTTTACAATGTTATAAAAGACACCAAATCTTCGCGTAGTCAATTCGTGTTTGATTTTTTCCTTTTTATTATCTAGTCTTCTGTCTCGTCGCGTTTTCTTGTCATCGTCGTTTTTATATTACATAACCGGTCATTATCTCTGTATCATTCACATGGTGCGCTCCCTCCTTTCTCCTCTTCTTCTCTGTTCTCATGTGCCGTCTTGGTATACTTTTGTACTTTTCTGTTCCCCTACTCTGTCTCGTCGCGTTTTCTTGTCATGATAGTTTTTATATTACATAACCGGTCATTATCTCTGAATCATTCACATGGTGCGCTCTCTCCTTTCTCATCTTCTTCTCTGTTCTCATGTGCCGTCTTTCTTTTGGTATACTTTTGTACTTTTCTGTTCCCCTACTCTCAGTTCCCTTTTTCGTACATTTATTGTAATGCGTTTGTCTCCTGTCTTATATATCGTTCTTCGTTGTAAGTACCTGTTGGCCTTTACATGTTCACCCCAATATATAATATGCATGTTAATTGTTATGATTTTTTAAATTATGGACTAATGATTATTATTAATCCCCATACTCATTCTATTTTTATTTCGTTTTTACCTTTCTTTTCTAAAATAAATGTAGTTAATACAAAAGAATATGATTATCAAGGATAGATCCACATTCTACAATCCCTGCTTCTCGCCCCTCTCCCCTCCCCCCCTCCCCCCAAAAAAATAACAACAACCTACTACCTCATGTTTACACCCAACGCTCTCAGTGAACCAATGATTCTTTCATGCCACTTTGCAGGTCCCTTCATAACCTACCTGTATCAACGTCTTCACGGTGGATCGCGATGGGTTCTCGTGATGACAGGGGCAGTCTTGGCACCCTTGGCTCTCATCGCTGGATCTTTTGTGACCAACGCCGCTCAGCTAGCGGTCTGTCTATCAGTTGCAGGTATGCACCGTTTATCCGTCATATCATATTATTTATTCACTTATATGTTTATTTCTCTATTCACTCATTTATCTATCTAGCGTTCCATGAAATTTTCTATTCATTCATTTATTATCTAGTTACTTTGTTTATATTTATTCATTCATTTAAAATTTACATAGGTAATGGTTAGTTATTTACTTATGAGAACACATTTTAACAGGATGTAAACAATCGACTTCACGCTGTTTTTTTCATTGTAGTTCTGGAACATGAACAAAGGAGGGAATTAGTTTTTCTTTTCTGAAGGTTCATATTTTCCGAAACACATATTCTCCATACCAAGGGCTTCATCCTTCTGGAAATGTAATAGGGCTCATAATTCCGAACATCTGATGGTCTACTCCGAAGGTTCATTATTCCGAATGTTCGAAATTACGAAAATGAAATAGTGATCCTAACTCCGAAGGTTCGTAATTCCGAAAGTGAAATAAGATTCATAATTTCGAGAATAAAACAGGGCCTATTATTCCATTTTCGGAATTATGAACCTTTTGAGTAACGGTGAACCATTATGATTTTCGGAATTATGAACTTTTGTATTTTAGGCTATGAGGAACTTAGGGAATCACGAACCTTTAAAATACCAAATAATGAACCTCCGGAATTAAGAACCTTCGGAATTATGAACCTTCGGAAAAACGACGTGTAACCATGGCATAGGATCAACAATCCTTATAAACTACTTTGGGGTAAACCTGAAAAGCGATTTAGATAGCGATTTAGATTATCAACCACATAGTCCCCTATAAAGTCATTGATGGTGTTGTAGATATCTTATTCCATGCTTTAGAGGTGTTGCGGTCTAGTGGAAAAGTCGCCAGACTGTAAACCACGGGGTACAGGGTTCAAATCCTCCAACAGCACTAGCATCCTTTGTCAAGACAATAATCTACCTTGCCGCTCTCCACCCAAGTGTAGTAAATGAGAACCTTTTAGGGCAGCTGGGTTAATACCAGGGTAATAATAATACCTTTTAGGCACCTTGCGTATCCCCTGGGATAAACACGTGAGCAATGCAAACGTAGCTATTATTATTAGTGGGACTACTAGACCTTCGTTTATGCACGGCCTTCGCAGTGAAATGCCCTCCCTCGAGTGATTCTTAATCGCAGATCGGTAGCAGTGTTAAAAAATATCTTAAAACATATATGTTTAATTTGGCATATTATAAAGTGTTCTGTCATTTGTTGTATGTTCGATCCTACTTTTGTTCCTTTGTTTATAATGCAGATTCTTGTATGTGTCCGCTTTTTGTGTGTTTTTGTTTCACAAGTGCACCTGTGGGCATTTGATTTCATGTGGATTCGGGGCCTACAAAATCCCATTTATTATCATTATAATTGTAATTATTATTATCATTATTTCAAAGGCAATAAAAGGTATTGCTCATGTCTAAGTCTCACCAGGAGACCGATTCCACAACAACAATCAGTAGACCGAAAAAAAAAACCATTACACCGAAAAGCCGGTCGGTTTCAGTGGCAAAACTCGGATTGTCTGACGGGGGGGGGGGGGGGGGGGGGGGGAATAATTCCTCGTTTTCCCGCCCCCTCTTTTTTCGAATTGTGTCCAATTATTATCTTTTCCCCCGTTTTAATGCAGGGCTCGCATCAAACATCCTCTCCATTGCAATAGTCATCACACTACGAAAACAATGTAGCCAGAACTTTGGAATCTACTACGGGATCGGAAAGTCAGGGTACGCCTTTGGTATGGCCCTGGTGCCTCTGCTTGCGGATTACCTGATGGTGCTGTATGGATGGAGGGGTTCCTACATTCTGATTGGCGCCCTCATGGGCCACCTGATTCCTACGACCATGATGGTGGATATCAATTTAGAATCTGATGTACGGGATACTCGGAGCAGCAACGATGGTGCCTCTGAGGAACAACGTGTACAGATGGACCATGAGGTCAACGATGACAATAGAAGATTACTGGACGAAGCGTCGAGTCACAGTAGAGATACAGCAGCATCAAGTAGTGTCCACAACCCTGATCACCCGAGTAGCGGTGAAGACAACGTCATCGATGAGCAGGACGAACCCGTAGATGAGGTCGACGATGAGGCAATTAGCGACGAAACAAGATTACTTGAGGAATCATCACTCCGCCACAGGCATAAGACAAAATCTGATAGTTCTCGTAGGATTAGTGAAGCTACAAGTCGGACTAAATACGCAAACTTGTACGACACTGCTTGTCAAATTCTTAAGAATTCCGTGTATAACCGTGATCGCTGGCTAATTCATCTTATGCTAGTCACCCTCGTGTATTCCATGGTAAATGGCACCTGGAATGGTTTTTTAATTCCCCGAGCAGTCGACCGAGGTTTTGCTACACCAGTAGCTGTATCCTTTGCCTACTCTGCAGCAGTAGGGGCCTTCATTGGTCGTTTCTTCGGAGGCTTCATTTTGAGCTTGAAATTCTTCTCAGGTCAAGAGTGGTTTCTGTTCTTGACAATCGTGAACATCTCCTCGCTCATTGCCGACATCTTAGTCGCAAGGTTTGGCGTAATGATTGTGACGTCATTTGTTACTTGCCTTACCCTTGCCGAGCGGAGTACTCTTATTTTGGTGATCTGTACGGATAGGGTCACCGAGTCGGAGTTTCCTGTGATTCTCGCTTCGTCGGAAATTGTATTCGGGATCGGAACTTTCGTCGGAGCTTCTCTCGGAGGTTTGTAAACTAGCTCCTTCATTTATGAAGTTGTTCTGAAATAAAGTGTCAGGATAGATATGGCCATTTTCACTAAAGCCAAAAGCGTAGAACATGTATCTCTTTCTGAAGTTATCTTTATTTTAATGTCCTGTGTAGTGTGTAGTGAAGATATGAATTTGACATATTGCAAATCACTAAATGAATCAATGAGTACAAAGCAATAAATGAAAGAAAAAGAGAATTATCATCATATTGTTGAAGTACCAATACCATCAAACGATTTTCCTTAAAAAAGAATTAAAAGATTTACGAATATCCTTTCACACACTTACTGCTACTTCAGAGTTGTTTACACATATTTACATTATCTTTTCTTTCTTTTTTTGGCTACAGGTTATGTTGCTTACGCCTACAATGCCTTCAATGCGTCCTATGTCTTCGTTGCAGCTGCCGACGCCTTGGTATTTTTTCTTATGATTCCACCGACGATTGCCGCGAGAATGAAATGATTCAACGGAGGGGATACGATGACAATGATGATAACAATGCTGTTACGGTGCTCCGATGTGGCTCCTGCGAAAAATTACTCCAAGCTTTATTTCGCAAAAGATATAGGCCTACAGTTCGAAGCCCACCTTCAAATGTTCGGTCTGGCTACGATTTCCAATAGCAATTGATATAAACATTAGAACATGCAAAAGTTGAGTGATCAAGGAGGTGTATAGTCATTATGTTTGATCAAATCTAAATTCCAAGGGATTTTAAACTTTCTTGGAGGAAGAAAAGCTAAATCGGCTCAGAATCGTAGTGACGTTAGACCACCGACAGTGTCCTTATCTACGATTTGAAGCCGATTCTGCTTTTGATCCGGCTAGAAAGCTTAAATACACTAACATCCTGGTGTTTAGTATGCTTATTGTTTTATTTTAACCCTGCATTATTTAACACAATTAAAATTGAGATACGAACTAGGTACCTTTATAATATTAACAAAAGTCAAAATACATATATAATCATATCATAATATAAATAAATTTTAATAATTATACCTTAAAAAAAGACAAATCATTTCAAAAATGACTAATGCAGGAGACCCCCATCTTTAGATAAGCTAGGGCTTGAACTAGATGACGGCCTCAGGAAAGGCACCGATATGGGCGATCAAACTTATAATATGAAGAGTTTCATTCCAAAAGGAGCTAATTCCACTTTGGGTACTTTTGAGTAAATCGACTTTTTTTTATTTCTCTTTTTTTAGGGGGGGGGGGGGTATTCATGGTACTAGGTTAGGTCTTCACTGGCTGGGGGACCAATAATATATGATAAGAAAAAATCTACCAGTTTTTCCTGATTTTTACCAAATTTTTAGATTTTTTAAAATCGTGGATTTAGCTCTTATGAAAGAGTGTTTTATCCCAAATCATTTGGTATAATTTTTGTGTGGTATGTGTTCATGCTTGGATGAAAAGGAGGCATTGTTTGCGAGAGTGCAACAATCGACTTGCGCCAAAGTTGCTCATGTGATGTTTGAATAAAACAATTGGGATTTAGGTATTAATTCGGTCTTTGCAGATCTAAATAACATCCCTAATAAAGTTAACCATGCCACACACATCAAACATCGAATATCAAATATCAAATATCAAAGAACATTTGTGCGCGTGGTTGTGGGTGTGTGTTTCAAGTTTCAAGTTCAGTTTATTCAATTCCAATAAAATATACAAAACAGAATACAATCATGACAGAATAAGTCGATCAATAATACAAAATAGTGTGTGACTTTGCCCTTTGTAAAAAGCATATGCAATGCATTTCATTTGATACATTCAATTCATTATCTCACTCAGCTAATCCCAACATGGTACATACTGTAGGCATCACTTTGGCGCAAGTCGATTTTTGCACTCTCGCAAACAATGCCTCCTGTTCATCCAAGCGTGAACAAATACCACGCAAAAATGATACCAAATGATTTGGGATAAAACACTCTTTCATAAGATAGTATAATAATTTATTCTTCATAGATGATTTTAAAAATAATTAGCAATTTTGTAAGTGTAAACTTTTTTTGACTCACACGGTATAAATATGTGTTTTAATATTTTTAATGGTTATTACATATTCGACATTCATCAATAATCACTCTAATAAATCTAGAGTTACGCTTTTTATTCTGAGAGCATGTTATCAATAAAAAAAAATGAGTATTTTTTGTATTAAGAGATAGCTTATTGTACTTAAAGCCAAGTGAAAGCCTTTGGTAAAGTTAAATCAATGTAATCATTTTATGTGAGTAAATTAAAACAGATGATGCTTTTATTATATCGCTTACATACAAAATAAAAAAAAGAAGCGTTCCCAGATTTGAGCCTCGAGGGACACCATTCCTAATCGATAACAGACTAGAGTAATTTCCATTAAATCAAACATACTGTTGTCTTTTGACAAGTAGTCTCTAAACCAGAATAGAGTTTGCCCTCGAATTCCGTATGTATATATACATTTTTTCAAATCGGTACAGCATGGTTGAGCGTGTCAAACGCGTTACTTCCCATGGATATTTTGTCGTTTATTTGTATTAATGCTATATCGGTCGAGTGTTTTTTTATAAACCCGTATTGGTTGAGCATCAACAACTAACAACTATGATGACAATCACGTAACATATTTTTTTAAATAGAATTTTGGTATACTAAAGACTATATGTATTGGGCGATAATTGCGTATTCATGTGGATTGTCTTACTTACAAATAGGAATAATTCGCTACTTTGAGTAGATCTGAACATACTCCCGTCGAAATCGATACATCAAATATACGAAATAATAGGTATACAGTGAAGTGTATCATTTGTTCAAGAAGTGCAGTGCTAAACCTATTATGTCATTTTGATTTACTGGAGTTTAGTGATTTTGGAACATGAATTATATCTGGTATTAAAACGAATAAAGATTTATCAAAAGAACCTGGAAGAAAAATTGTGAAATCTACATTTGTAGTATCAATTTTTTGTCGTGCTAGTTGTGGGCCAATATTATCAAAGAATGTATTGATCGAAGTAGAATAACAATTTTTTACTAAGTATCTCATTACCATTAAAACCCATCTGTACTATTTTATAGGGGGATTAGACCAACCTACATGGTCACTAGACAGGTGGTTATCTCATCAACTCGGCTCTCAATTAACGTAAGAAAAAGAGGATCATGGGGGACCAGTGGTCACCGTTTAAGCATTGTTTTCTATATAGAGGGAGGAAGTAGCTACAAGTGGTACAGTGGGGCTTTAAGTTTCAAAACATATTTGGGTAGATGTTCAATTTATTTTCCATTGCCTCACTGATAACACGCTACGTTTCCTTCACAATGGAGGTAACTTTATGTAATTGTTTAGAGTAATACATCTTTCGAGAACATCGCACGATACCTGCCAATTTATTACAATATTTGGGGGTAATTTTTGCTAGTTAAGTCTGTTGGGTTTTGCATATATAATTTGTAAAGGCGGTTTCTTGTTTCGATTGATTTCATAATACCTTTTTAATTCACGGGTTTCTTGAATGATAGAGTTATGTTTTATTTTGACAATAGGGATATTTTTATCATCATAAGAATATTGTAATACATGATTGAAATGTTCGTTTGCATTACTCACACTATGTTCATTCTTCTTCTAATAAATCTTGTTTAAATGACTCAATGTTACTAGGAGACTATTTTCCATCTAGAACTCTATGAGTTTTTTCAAGATATACTAAACTAAACTGAGATATTACAAATATCGGTAGGTGGTAAAATATTTCGGAACAAAGTAGACTACCACTAATATTTTTATCATGTTCGTTTAACAGAAACATTATCTAAAAAGATGAGGAATGCGTGTTAATCCTGGCAGGTTGAATGATATAAAAGGAAAAAGTAGAACATACATCAAATTGATACATATATCTAATCTAATCTAAATTAATACTATTAGAAAGAAATTTTTATATTGTAGTCAGCCAATGTCTTGCCAAAGGACATTAGTGCCGCGGTGGGACTTCAACCGCAGACCTTGTGATCCACAGTCCGGTGACATATCCACTCGTCCACGAAACCTCTACAAGGACCTGTACACAGAGTTACACGGGCCAATGCATGCCGTTCTATCCGAACTCACTGAAAGTGAAGCGTTGGGCTGCAACAGAGATAGTGTATTGTCAGCCCTACCAATTTGGCTCTGAGAATCAGTCTGGGAAATTATCAGCAAATCGTCACTGATTTTACTTCCAGCCATGATTTTCACCTAAATGTATCGGGGACAGTACAGCTACCAGCTAGTCAGTACAACTAGAAGATAGGTCTAAAAACCTATTGTTATATTTCTTAATTAATTAGTCAATTAAGTGTATACAATGCACAGGAGCTCAAATAACCAACAGTCGATAGTCAATAGTTAGACACACACAGTGACATTGCATGTGCATCGTCACTAGTCATCCACACACTTGCACATACAGGCACTTTATAATACACAGACCAAAGTTGCCATGATATTTCTAAATGTGGCTCAGACTAGACAACCATAGTTCAAGTGTTCAATATAGGGCTGTCTATACTTCTGCTAAACACTGGTATATAGGATGCAACTTATATTTAAGGACTGCAATGTGACTCAAGATGCCCCTGTGCAGATCAACTTGAGGTGGAATATCCCAGTCACAGACTCTAACTCCCAGAAGCATATCTGGGACTTTGTGGTCTGGAGAAATCAAGATGGCTACCAAGGGCTTTCAGCTTGATCCAAATGAAAACTTCGTAATCACTTCAAATAATCCAACTTCCAACTTTAAAAATCCATGAAATTATGCTGGGATATCAAAATGCTTCTAGGACACCTACCCCCTGGACAACCACCCCCGGATAACCACTCCTAGGATAACGACCCTCTAGGACAATGGCCCCTAGGACAACGACCCTATAGGATGACTACCCCCAGGACAAATACCCCTGGACAACTCTCCCGGACAACTACCCCTAGAACAACTATCCCCCGAAAACCACCCCAGACAACTACCTCCTATGACAACCATCCTCTAGGACAACTACCCCCGGAAAACTATCCTAGGACAACGGCCCCCTAGAACAACTACCCCCTAGGGCAACCACCCTATAGGACGACTACCCCCAGAACAAATACCCCCGGACAACTCTCCCGGAAAACTACCCCTGTAACAACTACCCCCCGGAAAATCACCCCCAGACAAGTACCTCCTACGACAACCATCCTCTAAGACAACTACCCCGGACAACTATTCTAGGGGGTAGTTATACTAGGGGTTAGTTGTCCGGGGTATATGTCCTGGGGGGGGGGGTAGTCGTCATATAGGGTGGTTGCCCTAGGGGGTAGTTGTCCTAGGGGTGGTTATCCGGGGGTGGATGTCCAGGGGTTAGGTGTCCGGATACGATGTCATAAACAATCGCATTCGGAAAAAAATATGTGATATGCGAAATTATGTTACTATTGGGGAAACATTACATAAAGGTGATATATCAATATTAGTAATTAGTATTCAACTATTAAATTGATTCGTAAGAGCTCAGATATGCGTTTCGTTTAATTGCATATCCTTATCATTTGGGGGAATTTCAGTTTCAATGTTTTACACTATCTTATCCTTATTCAAGATTTGGCATACTCGCACAAGTGTAATCCTCAATTTGTATATCTTAGTCAGGCAGATCATCATGGGTGAATCCAGGGGGGCGTTTCATGAAACAATTAGTCGGTGGTTTTCACAGACTAGTATCATGTTCACCGACAATTCTTTCGTCACCGACTATTTTCCAGGCCTGTGATTGGTCAAATTTAGTCAGCGCTGTCTAAATTGTCGGTAAACATGATATTAGTCGGTGAAAACCACCGACTAATTGTTTCATGAAACGCCCCCCCCCCCCCAAGAAGGATGAAAGGGGATATGAATCCCCCCTCAAATAAAAATATTCTTGACTATTTTGTATCGAACCCACTTTCTTTTTTCCC